TCTTACAGCTTTATACAATTAATCACATTTTGGTACTAAACATATGACACATGATCAAACCTGAAAGGAGAAGACAGCGTCATTTAACGTGCTTTGACCTTGTCTGCAATATAAGCTTGGAGCTTTACCACTTTAAAGAGCTTGTAGAGATCAAAAATGTGTTCCCAGTTTTCTTGCCACATCTCCACGGATACCAAGGCATGCGCCATAAACATTTGGGCGTGATGATAATATTGTCATGATGTCACTATGATGTCATTGTGAAGTGTCATCCAGCTATGTTAGTTATAATAGTTTGGCAAAGTTTTCAGAAATGAAAGCATAAAAGGTCAAACTTTGGAAGAATAGAAAGATCAACACATGCCTACGATTCTTTAGTATTGTCTGCATATTGTTTTCGCCCATTTGTGGATGTGTGTAGGCTAAAAAAAAAATGTCATACTTTAGCCCTGCATGTGTTTGCAAAGGATGTCCTGTTAAATAGAAATGAACTTTCAAATGAAACATTTAGCAGATGCTCAATTATGACTTGCAGGAAGTGCTTTTGATCCATGTGTGAGACTTTTGATATTTGATACAGAAGCATAACAGAAGAGTTGCTGTCTGTATTGAATATGAATAATGAAAAGACTGTGTATGGAAAGAATGACAGGAAATGTGTTTCTGTTGAGTTGTCCTTACAAGCTGCATGCAGAAACATTCAATGCAGCCGATTCACAAACAAATGAATATTCTTAGCAAGTTATTTTTTTATGAAATCAAACATATACAGCACAATAAGTGTAGTTTTTGGGGTCTACTAGAATAGGTTTTCATGGTTAAATGTTAAAAAACACATGATTCTTCACATATTTGTCATTGTTGCAGCTCCTCTCTTCTCAGTCTGTCAGTAACGCTCCGTTTAGTTAATGTTTCTATGAAGCCCCTCCTTTTGAAAAGCTCAATGTGCTCTGATTGGTTGGCTGGACCAGTGTGTTATGATTGGTAAACAGCTTTACGTGTTTGGGAAATATCACGCCCCTTACCATAACCGCTAGTTTCAACACACTACTAACTAACTCAATTTTTGCATATATGCCTTGGGCAGGAATTATTCAAATGAGGAATATTGTGTTGTGTTCATTCCTGGAAGAAAACTCAAGACTACAATGGAGGCGTTTCAGGGAGTTCAGAAACAATGCGCACTGACTTTGTGCTTTGTAACTTTACAGACCTTTTTATTGCTAAAACAGCAACATTACACACTATAAAGAAAGTTAAAAATGTAAAAACTGCAATATAGGTCCTCTTTAAGAGTGAGACGGCTGAATCTTGACTGTAAATATTGCTTTTGTAGAGCCGTGATCGATGCGTCTGGGCATCTCTCCTCCATTTGTGATCAATGCAGATGGCCTCTTTGGCTGGTGGCCATCTTGAATCACCTAATTGACTTAGTATTTTCTCTATACTGTAGCGGGTTGAAATCAATCAAGTCCAATTGAGAGAATGGATGAAACTTTTCCATTCACCATTATCATGAATCCAGCAAAAATGACTGAAATCTAATGCAAGAGTGTTTTTAAGGGTGTATTCCCAAGGTTTCAGAGATTTGTGTGTCGTTGTGTTTGCATAAGCGCAGTGTGTGTATGATTTGTAGCGTGTTTGCAAAGCACTAGCTCACTGTGTGCTGCGAGCGCGCCCTGTATTAAACCTCAGCAGGAAGTCTTGCCTTTTTTTCTCTCGTTACACATTACAAACACCCACTTCATTAAGAGCGAAGTCTATATCCTCCTGGTTTAGAGGATGGTGTGTTCGTCTGTGAGGAGATAGACGTAGTCGAGGAGGAAACCAGCTGTCCGGTTGCCTTTGGCTCTCGATGTCTTTGTTTACAGAGTCAGTGGATTGCAGAGGAAACTCATTCTGTTTATCTAACTTGCAAATCCGACCCAAAACAAAACAGCTGCCCCTCAGGATGAGAAAGGCTCATGTGTTGGCACATATCTTCTTATTCTTCTTCCTGTTCTGCTGCTTCTTCAGTGTCGTCTCTGTCTGTCTGTCTTATTCTGTCTCTTTGTCATATTTTCGTTGCTCTTCTTGCTTTTCCAAAACATCCAAAACATGCTTGAGGACTTTTGTTGTTTATCTAACTTGCGAATGTTCTTCATTGTGTTTTTCTTTAGATTGTCCATTGAGGCTTTTGCAGCTTCTTCTTTTTTCATCATCATCAACACCATCATCTTCTTTCAACTTATTATTCTTCTTCATTCAACTTCTTTCTCTTATTATTATTTGTCTTAATGCTCATTGATTTAGAATCATAATCTTCTTTTTCTCCTTATTCATTCAACTTCTTCCTCTTATTATTCTTTATATTCGTCATCTTTTTCATGTTTCATTGTCTTCATCTACTTCAGCTTCCTCTTTACCTTCTTCTTTCTGTTCTTCTTTTCCCAAACGCATTGATTAATGTGCAAAAGAAATTTGTTCTGTTGCACATTTTTAAATTATATTCTTCAGATTCTTCAGTGTTTCTTATGTTCTCCTTCTGTATCTTATTTGTCATTATCTTTACGTTTTCCAGATTCTTCTTGGCCTACTTGAGCTTCAACGGCTTCTTTTAAGACTTCCTTTTCAAATTCTTCTTCGTTCTTTTCATTTTACATCATTTTCATCAGCTTTGTCTTCATATTCAGATTGTTCTTAGTCTTCAGCTTCATCATGTTCATCAGCTCTTTTTCTACACCTTCATATTCTTTAGCATCTTCATGTTTATGTTCAGCTTTTACAAAACACATTAGGTCTAGATTGCGGAGGAAATTCATTCGGCTTATCTAACTTGCAAATCTCACTAAAAACAAAGCAGCTGCCCCTCAGGCCAAGACAGGGTCAGCACGTCTCTGATGGACATGTTTCTTCTTCTACAGCTTATTTTTATTCTGCTTGCTTTTCCAAAACACTCTGGTTTTGTCTTGCTCATCATGCTTGGTCAATATGGTCTTTGGTCTGGTTTTTCAGATGTTCACCCATCATGCACATCCTCCTCAGAAGGCAGACTCAATGGAAACCGGGTTTGGAGGCATAGCTGGAAATCTTAATTCCTGTTGAGTGGACATTGACATGAGGCGTGCCCATGGGCACACACTGCCTCTCTGTTCCCTCACTGAGTCATGACATTAGCAGTGAGCCCAAAGTACCAAAGCCCTACATATTATTCTACATTCATTAGCTCAGAACATGACTGTTATCAACAACAGACATTAGGGAAGACGTACAACTGGCTTTCTGTCTCTCTGTCTCTTCGTGTTCTCACCCAGATTCAGGAACATACTCAACACCACAGTGATTTGTTAATTTTCACAATTCCTTTCCAAATCCAGGAATTGAATAAATCATGACAGGAATTCCATGTCACACAACATGTGAAAAGGCTCTCTGTGGCACTGCACAATGAAGCATTTAAACACTATATTTAGCTCTCCTTTTATATACAGTACTAAAAGACAGATTTTGGTTGTCTTCATGAAGAGGACATTGTCCAAGAGGTCAGGCCGGCTGCTCCACATTGCTCTGTGAAATTCCTCTGCCTACTGTGCGTGTATTGCTCCCTGTAGAATTCGCATGTTTCATTCCCACACAACTGGGCATGCACAACTGGGACCATTTTCTCTCTCTCTCAAAACAAAAAAAGGGAAATGGAAAGTTTTTGTGTTTATTTTATTGATGTAAATTATTAATAATTATTAATATTTAGCAATGAATAAACGGCTGAATAATTGCATTAACTTGCTGTGTTCCATTCGTCTTGTTTTGGCAACAGAACAAATTAGGAATTGGAGTTAGACTTCCAAACAGAGATTGCGTTAGTTATCAAACAAACACTATCATTATTATGGCTTTTATCTGCTCATTGGAAATACTTCTTTAAAGCTCCAGTAGGGAGTTTCTAGAAAACGTTGACTTAGCCTGAAAATTTGAACAAGCACAACTTACAGGTCCCACCCCCTTGCTCTCTGCTGCGCTACAGCCCTCCTTCCACAGCTCGTCCTCCACAGCGGAGCCTGTCGTGAACGCGCAGGCTAGTAAACAGGGCCACCGATAACAGCGGATAAAAAGTTATATGGCACATTCACTAATAGGGACTAAACGTCAATAACATGCTTTACATTGACTATGGCCTGCCCATACTTAGACTACAAACTTGGTCCTCAAATCATTATGTATTTTGCAAAAGCCTACATGTAACTTTATAACGTTGCACTCTTTCTATAAGTTATAAATAGCTAGTAAGATAACGTTAATATAACGGTAACTTACGTTACAGTATGTAAGTAATTATTCTAGCGATATATAATGCTAGATAAGGTGTGCTAGTACATTATTTCAGCAACATGACAAGCCAGTGAATTAGCAGGTTTCAATTGTTGCTTAGCAGAGTGCGTGACATTTTATCTACATGTTATGCGGCTAGAGTTTTGACACCGAGTCAATGGGCTCTGTGTAATTCTTTCTTTTTCGCTTGTTTATCATCATCAGTCTTTTTCCTTTTACCTCTTTGTTTTATGAGCAGGTGTCACTTGAGAATTGGCAGTTTAGGTTGTTTCTCCGTCATAAGCACAGCTGCGGCACACCGGCAATCTTGAGTTTGAACGACGGCTCGCGCTCCGGCGCTCGCGCTGTGCAAGAGAGGGGTGTGATCAGCGCGTACACGAGCGTGATTGACACTGCTAAGACATTCCTCCTGGCTCTGATTGGTTGTTTCTGACCGGGAGCGTGTATTTCTTGCAAATGGCAATAGGACCACTGGGAGGAGCCAGAGGAGCTTGATTTTTACACAGATTATCTGTCTCATATTCTACTGTCAGGACATAATGACAGTTTTAGCAAATATATTTTTTCAAAAGTTACCTACAGCAGCTTTAAATGGACAAACTCGTCTTATGAGATAATATGTAGAAGATAAAGTGAGATACATTAATGTGTTATATGTTGTCTTGTATGTTTATTGTGTCTTTTCTTGATAGTTCTCCTGCCGTGGTTGTCATGTTTCAACGTGGACGAGAAGAACAAGATGTCATTCAGTGGACCAGTGGAGGACTTGTTCGGATACACCATCCAACAATTCGAGAACAGTGAGGGAAAGTGGTAAGCTACATATTTTTTCTATAAAAGCTTACACCGTGTCTACACCGGACGTGACTGTTGATGTGTCGCATTGTGCCGCGCTGCAACAGGTAGAAGCTGTCTACATTTGTCCTTCCTATGAGAAGTATCGCGAGTGCTTGAAATGCATCAATAATAGTACGAAGCATCGGTGTCTGGGATTTGTCATGTCGTTTGACCCGCATCCAATGTCAATATCACTGATTATAATTGGGTCTATTGTCTTTTGTCGCACCGCTCATGTCTGATGTAGAAACATTCTTCGGTTTGCTATTTGTTTTGGAATTTATATAAATGTAATATATTTTTAAGAACCTTTTGATATGAAAGTTTGAAAAACTGCCCTTTATGTAAGTAAGCAGTTAGAATATTCACCATTCAAAATCGAACTGACAGCAATGTCATTGTATGTATTTTATTTACATTCTGAATTATGATTGGTCTTTGATTTCTTGCCACTGTTTACCATTGTGCACACTCAACAAAAGCAATACACAGTGTAGACGCTGGCAAGATGGTTTTGATGCAGAATTTTATTTACATCATATTAAAAATATACTCTGAACAATTCCATAATAGTGCTAGAATTGTCATGGTAAACCTATGAGCTCCACTGATGTAGTCTGCTTTTGTAATGGCTCTTGTTTTATTTCTAATAAAGACATCAAACTAATGCACTGAGGCCTGCTAACTCCATTAAGCATATAAATAAATGGAAAGGATTCCCTATTGTAGGAAAGAGTTCCACTCAGTAAAACCTTAGTGAATTCAGACATCTGTAGCCTCTTAAAAACTGGTCCAGCAGCAGGTTTTAGCTCTGCTTGTAAAGGTTAACCTTCTACCTCCAGAGAAACACCTCAGCTGGTGTGAAAACCCCAAGACAGCTTTACATAAACCTCTCACAGGTGGCCTTGACTGAGGTGGAAACCTTGCCAATAATCTGTTCACGGTCGTTAGATTATTTGACAAGATTGATTTGGATAGATTTTACAGAATACAAGAGGTTTTTTGATTATCAAAATAACAGCAAAGTTACGGAAAAATTTGATTAATGGAAAGCTTGAAAATAAATCCATCCATCCATCCATCCATCCATCCATCCATCCATCCATCCATCCATACATACATACATACATACATACATACATACAGTGACTTTTGTTTGTTTCTCACACAAAGCTGTCATAGGACATCAGAAGACTTGGAATAGTTGTGAGTCCATGGTGCTTTTTTGGTGCCATTTTGGCTTTTTTTTTTACTTTACAGCCTCTGTTGCCATTCACTTTCATTGAATGGAAAAGAGCAGCCAGGATTTACGCAAAATTTCTCCTTTTGTGTTCTACGGACGCAAGCCACCACAGAACTTTTTTTCTCTCTCGCATTAGCAAGCTTCTATTTCACAATTCGGACTTTATAACTTGAAATAGCAAATGTATCTCTTTTTTCAGAATTGTGAGAGAAAATGTTGCAATTACCTTTTTAATTTTTTACTCCATAGCGGCAACAAGCTTCCATAGATTTTGGATATTAAAGGATATTAAAAATGTAAAATATCCCTCAAATATATTGTTGTAAACTATAAGGTGACCGGTGCCTGTTGTAACCAGGGAAGATTGTGTTGTATCCACTGCTGTGTCAAGGCCCATTTGTGCACAGGAATGTTAATGACTTGACTTGTTTACATGCTTACACAAGGATGTCTACTTTTAGCACTGTTGTCAAAAGCCACCATTAGAAATCTGAGGAACACGGCGAATGTTCTTCATTTAGCTAAGTGCACTCAGATGTACCACAGAACATAATGAAACGTAAACAGCCTTACGTTATCTCACGGTAAAGCACATAAATCACAGTGGGGTTCAAGGGTAAACCATCACATATCCGTCAATATAGTAGTCAAACTCTCTCTAACTGTTTTTGTGACGAAAAAAGAAACTCTTTCCTCCCCATCGTACTGACATTTCACATATGTTCCATTTGACTGTAATATTTAAAAATAAGCATGTGCATATTTATGTTATGCTTTTCTTTCCCACTGGAAAACTGGCGAATCAATCAACTGCACTTTGGCTCAGCGGGCTTCCACTTTCTCACAAATCCCAAAGGTTTTTTTGTGGTCAGGGATTAATGACCCCATTCTCTACTTCCTGATTTTTTTCTGAAGGGTTCTGATTGGTTCTCCTCTTAACGGACAGCCGGCTAACCGGTCCGGAGACGTCTACAGGTGCCCCGTGGGACAAAACAAAAGCACTGGATGTGAAAAATTCAGTTTGTCAGGTGAGAGGTGTCCTTCCTGTAAGCGGTAATGCAATCGCGTTTTTCCATGGACTATTTTTGTTCATTACTGTGTACTCTTTGTTTGTATTCACTGTGTTTATACCAGAAAAAACGTTTACAGGAAGGGGTAACAGACATTACCTCAGTTGCTCTGAAATTGTCATAGTTTCTAAATTGGCACTTTGACTGTCTGTCTCAAACATTACTGCATGACTCAAGGGTACTAGTGGATATGCCATGCACCAACATGGCACTTTGGTTCATGAGTTTATAGCAGGGTGTACAAAATCCTCCAGATTTGAAAAACAGGTTGTGAAATCATCTTCCCTTTTCTTCAATTTCCAAAATAACACACTTCCTCAGTGCATTTCCTACAGTCAACATGAAACACTGTTTATTTTCTGAATGCACGTACTTGGTCGTATTCCACATCTTTACATCTTTTTGATCAATCCTTTAAATTTAGTCTATTTTCCTGTCATATTGATTCATTTTTAGTCAGTTTTACTTTTTATTAATCTTTACTTTTTAACAATCCTAAAAAAAAAATGTATTGCAGTTTCCACAAGAATATTAAAGGTTCTCTAAGCGATCCTGGGTGACGTCACTTCTTGTTGACGTTCGAACTATTGTCAAACAAAACGGAGGCTAGCTAGACCCTCCCTCCTCCTCATCCGCACACTAACCCCCCAAACCACACCCCCAAACCCTTCTTGTCGGTCATTGGCTGGAACAGTTTGTTATGTTTTGGGGAGCGGGTCGCTGCAGTTTGTTTTTGGTGCTGTTTGTGAAGCATGGGCTGTCTACAGAGATCGCGTTTCTTTACAGTGTGTTCAGGGGACAGGCAGCCAGCGGATAGTGAGGAGATGTTTGCTGTATGTGACAAAAAATGTTTTGGCCTAAAAAACACATGACATCGCTTAGAGCACCTTTAAGCAGCACAACTTTCTACACTGATAATAAGAAATGTTTCTTGATCATCAAATCATCATATTAGAATGATTTCTGAAGGATCATAATATGACACTGAAGACTGGAGTAATGATGCTGAAAAATCAGCTTTGATCACAGGAATAAATTACAATTAACATTAATATTGTGAAATATTATAATTTAAAATAACTGTTATATATATATATATATATACACTCACCTAAAGGATTATTAGGAACACCTGTTCAATTTCTCATTAATGCAATTATCTAATCAACCAATCACATGGCAGTTGCTTCAATGCATTTAGGGGTGTGGTCCTGGGCCGGGTTTCCCGATAACGATGAATCTTAGCTCTTAAGAGCGCTCTCTACGTGCAATGTTACGAACGCTCGCCGCAATTCCACACGCGTTTCCCAAAAATGCACTTAACATGAACGCGCGAGAACGCGTTCTACGTGCTACTTAAGCGTCGCTGTCCATTCGCGAAGTGCTGAAATATAACCTTATATGGAATCGTATTCTGAACGTTTAACCTAATAATCGTCATTTGTTGTGGATTAGAAATCAAGACAAGTCTATATGGATATAAAACACCCGACAAAATGGCTTAACAAAAAAACAAAAAAACAAGAGAAGAGACCTTTCAAAAAGATAAAATGAATGTCCTTTTAGAGGAGATATAGGGAAACAAAGATTTTATTTTTAACAGATTTAAAGGAAACCATACAAATAAGAAAAAACAAAACATCTGGAAGGACATTGTCACATTGCAAACTATCTGCAACCGTGTTCAAAGATCAGGGAAGGAGGTCCGCAAGAAATGCCCAATACATGGCTGGTTTTCGTGCACGCAAGTCATTGACAGCTTTTTTTGAATTCATCCCTATTTTGCCCCGTCTTTAAAGCGTGCAGATTACTTATTTTATGATTTTTTGTTTTTTTGTTCATTCGTTTAATTTAGATGTGTATTTCTATTTTTTCTTCCCTTTTTAATTATTTCATTTTCATTTAAACAAAACACGAGTACAATAAAGTGTACAATAAAGTAGGCTACAATCAAAACCTTATATAGGCTACTTACAATGCAGTGTAATCTGTTAAATCTAGATAAAAATCTGTTAAATCTGCCGGTTGTCCTGCAGGTGAGCTCATATAACTCTGTCTTCTTACGACGCACTTGGGGATTTACGATTACTCCAGAGCACTCGTAGTTCTACGAAGATTTTCAAGTGCTACTTAAGTTACGATGCTTTTGGAAAACAGACCATAATATTAAGATCAGTCGTACGATCGTTTTTACGATCAACTTAGGCTGACGATGCTTTTGGGAAACGCAGCCCTGGTCAAGACAATCTCCTGAACTCCAAACTGAATGTCAGAATGGGAAAGAAAGGTGATTTAAGCAATTTTGAGCGTGGCATGGTTGTTGGTGCCAGACGGGCCGGTCTGGGTATTTCACAATCTGCTCAGTTACTGGGATTTTCACGCTCAACCATTTCTAGGGTTTACAAAGAATGGTGTGAAAAGGGAAAACATCCAGTATGCAGCAGTCCTGTGGGCGAAAATGCCTTGTTGATGCTAGAGGTCAGAGGAGAATGGGCCGACTGATTCAAGCTGATAGAAGAGCAACTTTGACTGAAATAACCACTCGTTACAACCGAGGTATGCAGCAAAGCATTTGTGAAGCCACAACACGCACAACCTTGAGGCGGATGGGCTACAACAACAGAAGACCCCACCGGGTACCACTCATCTCCACTACAAATAGGAAAAAGAGGCTACAATTTGCAAGAGCTCACCAAAATTGAACAGTTGAAGACTGAAAAAATGTTGCCTGGTCTGATGAGTCTCGATTTCTGTTGAGACATTCAGATGTTAGAGTCAGAATTTGGCGTAAACAGAATGAGAACATGGATCCATCATGCCTTGTTACCACTGTGCAGGCTGGTGGTGGTGGTGTAATGGTGTGGGGGATGTTTTCTTGGCACACTTTAGGCCCCTTAGTGCCAATTAGGCATCGTTTAAATGCCACCGCCTACCTGAGCATTGTTTCTGACCATGTCCATCCCTTTATGGCCACCATGTACCCATCCTCTGATGGCTACTTCCAGCAGGATAATGCACCTGGATAATGTCACAAAGCTCGAATCATTTCAAATTGGTTTCTTGAACATGACAATGAGTTCACTGTACTAAAATGGCCCCCACAGTCACCAGATCTCAACCCAATAGAGCATCTTTGGGATGTGGTGGAACGGGAGCTTCGTGCCCTGGATGTGGATCCCACAAATCTCCATCAACTGCAAGATGCTTTCAGCACCTTGTTGAATCAATGCCACGTAGAATTAAGGCAGTTCTGAAGGCGAAAGGGGGTCAAACACAGTATTAGTATGGTGTTCCTAATAATCCTTTAGGTGAGTGTATTTACTTGCTTTGAGGAAAGCAAAGGAATTAAGTCCCATCGTTCTAATTGATGAACTAGTATGATCATTTCGTTTAGGAAGCCTTGACTTGAGCTCCAATGACTTGACAGTGACACTTAAAACCACGTGATTGTATCCTTTAACAGATGCACTGAGATAACCGCTCAACTGAAACATCTTCAGTTTCCCCTTTCTAGAGGTGTTATTCTGAGAATAGAAGAGGAAAAGAACAGTTCATACTGATGGCCAGAGAGACTTTGACCGGGACTCATGCGTCATTTACATTACATTTACATTTATTACATTTATTTAGCAGATGCTTTTATCTGAAGCTTCTTACAAATGAGGAATGATACATTTCAAGCCATTCACTACAAGTGAGAATAACAAGCTAGTACAAAGGACCTGGACAAATTTTCATTATTGAGTTAGTAAATAATAAAAATGAGTAAATGAGACTCAGTGTGCTCAACCCATTTGCAAAATTCCAAAAAACATGCACCAAATATCAAAAGATAGGTTAAATGTGGTCATTTTTTGGGATTGACAACCGTATTTACCTACACAGGTGTGAGTCTCGAAATGTCCCGTTCACACAGCATCTTACTATAGCGTCTTGAATACCGAATGTGCAATGGGAGTCAAGCACAATTCTCTAAGAGATGCTTATTTTAAGAGAGTATTTTTGCATCACTGCACATTTTGATCGATGATATAATGTGTGTGTTGTTTGTAAGAGTCATTAGCCTGTAGTGTTGCTCTGTTTGTGTGTTTGAATGCTAACCTCTTCCTGAATGTCTGACTCTCAGAAGAGGCCTAGACAGGAAGTGATCCAAAAAAACATTTTAATGTCTAAACTGAACATAATTACACAATCTTTCACCAGATAACTCAATGTTGCATGTCTTCTGGGATCTACCTTAATATGAGACACTTCTAAGAGGAACTCTGATGTCAGAACCGATGGCACTTGAATCCCTCAGTCATTTCACTTTTTAAAAAAAATCTTAAATATGGACAATGATGATTTTATGGGTTGACAGTAAGGTCTTTTTTCTTTTCATGACAGACCCTGTGGCTTACTGTACATTGTTTTCACATGATTTGTTTAAGCAGGAAAGGACAAAAACACTGTAAAAATGTTCTTTCCCCCATTAAGCCCCACGTAAAGGACACCAGCAATGAATTTAGTTTTGTCCGATCTGCCTATGGGAAAATGCAGTGTTTTTGTTTAGATATTCTTTTCATAGGACTTAACACTGAGAGTGCATATTTGTCTATTTTTCTTACAGAAAACACAACTATTCCGAACATAAATGAAGTCAAGGAAAACATGACTATGGGGACGACGCTGGTGGTTAACCCGGACGGCAGTGGGTTTCTGGTAGGGAACATCTACAGATGTGTCTTACACTGTTACTTTAGCCACGGCTAATTAATAGTGCCTGATCACAGACTTCTTCAATCATTACATTAGAAAAAAACTGTATGGAAACACTCTTTTTTTTCAGTTAATGTTTATAATTATAGAACAGCCAATGACACGCGTCTGCGTATGTCTGCGTTTGGTTTTTTTTTTTATGACTGAACAAATTGTCTGACATTGCAGTTCACAACAAAATTCTGCTTTTCTAGTGGTCAAACAATCCTAGAAAAAGGTATAATTTGGACTCAAACCTAATGGGATCAAACCGGAATCCTCCACGAATCAAATGTAATCTGATTAAGTAAACTGACATTCTGAAAAAAAAAAACAATGGAAAAGTAGGAATTTCATTTTATCCTGTAGGATCTTTTTTTAACCCATTAGGATTGGGTTAATTATGATACACATTCCAGGAGCATTCTTTCAGGATTTTTGGATGAAGTATAACTTCAGTAGTTAAGAAATAGACATCAACTTCATGCACATTTTCACCATCAAGATTTTGTATAAGGGAAAGTACGTTTTTAGTACGTTTTTATCGCCTTTTTTTATTTTACTTGTTTATTTAAATGGTCCTGCAGTGTGACAAATTAAGTTTTAAAAGTAAAAATGAAGTGGAGTTCAGCTTGTCACACCAAAACATGTAGTGTTAAGCTTTTTGACACATTGTTTATAACAGTTTCCAAATGCAGTTTCAACCTCCATGTGCTGCAAAGGACTGAAACAGAAATAGTTTCAGATAAACATCACAAGTTAAATAATTAATTCTGCTACGTAAAGCTATCAATTCTCAACAATTAAAACCCGAAATGGAGTCACGCCACAAAACTATATGTGTGTATATATAATATTTATATATGAGAAGAGTTACATGTCATGTCAGCTACTCATGCTCCTCAGTGGTCCAATCTCTCTCTCTCTCTCTCTCTCTCTCTCTCTCTCTCTCTCTCTCTCTCTCTCTCTCTCTCTCTCTCTCTCTCTCTCTCTCTCTCTCTCTCTCTCTCTCTCTCTCTCTCTCTCTCTCTCTCTCTCTCTCTCTCTCTCTCTCTCTCTCTCTCTCTCGTTCCCTCTGGACAGGCCTGTGGTCCTCAGTATGGGTACATGTGTGGAAAGCAGCAGTACATCACTGGGATCTGCGCGAACGTCAGCTCCTCCTTCAAAGTCCTCAACTCCATCGCTCCAACTGTGCAAGGTACGACACACACGTGTTGTGAGTGTACATTAGCGCATTCCAGCCATGTAAACCACAGCCGGTCGCCCTTGCCTCGCATGTCCTTGTTAGGACAGAGTTTAGGAAAGCTGACATCTACCAACGCAACGTGGAGCCAGTGACTCATCATAAACACACACATACATACTGTATGAAGTATCATAGCAACAAGGAACTTCTCGCTCCTCTCCAAGCACGGGAAAGACAGTTGCATCATTTCATTTGAATTATTCTTCATTAAATTCAAATTTGAATTCTCAATTTGATTCTGAGGCAAATAGCTCTGGTTAGCATTCAGGCGTGCAGGCTAAGTCTGTATTTGCATGGTATAGATATATGGGCCTTTCTACAGAATTTGTTGGAAGTTGGAAGCGTCTTGAATTTTTTGTCTTTTCCCACAAATTTTGTATACGCAAATTGTATAATATCCAAGGTACACATTTCTAGTAATTGTGCAGTTTATTATCATATTGTATTTTCAGACAGGAATATTTTTCATCTCCCCAAATTTGTCACTACAGAAACACAATAATACATAATTTAATAAGAAGGCTTATATTGACCTATTAATGTTTTGTTTACATCTACCTTCTAATTATTTTTTTGCTATTTAAAAAAAAAGTTTTCACAGGTAAATCAATAACAATTACAATTTTAACAATATTTCAAGTGTAATTTCAAGATTTGTCGTATTTTGAATCGAATCTTTCTTTGTAAAAGGCATTAAGTTAATCATACTGATTTAAAAGTTAAGGATTCATTAGTTTGAATATACATTGAACTAAAATTGTTTATTTCCCCCAAATAAATGATTGTGTGTTCCTTTTTGTCACTACCAAAACAATGATGACATGTTTCGGTCATGACTGTTTCGGTAGTGACAATTTAAGGTACTTTTGAGCCTAACTCAAAGATGATAACCAGCACATGGTTAACTAGCACAGTTCTGAACAGTTGTACACACAAAAAAAACTCAATTTTGTCGAATAACACTCAAAAAAACATGATGTCACAACCGAAACTTCACCACATGTTTCGGTAGTGACTGTTTCGGTAGTGACATTTTAAGATACTATTGAGCCTAGTTCAAAGATGAAAACCAGCACATGGTTACCTAGCACAGTTCTGAACAGTTGTAAAAACTATTATTTATGGAATAATACCCAAAAAAAGTTTGCCTAATTGCAGAAAAAAAGGTGTTTGGTAGACACAGATTTTCAGACTTTTGAACACATTTCCCACAAAATGATGGTACCTGTCTACAATGAAAGAGAGGCCATGAGAGAGAGGGACATCAAAAGAAAAAGGACATAAAAGAAATCAAAAAGATATTGGAATGGAAAAAATATCAATATCATTTTCACAAGTTGAAATTTAGGGGTTAGGGTTCGGGACAGCCACATCCCAATTGAAAGTAGGCTTACCCAATAAATGATGATTTTATATTTATTAAGCTTAATGATATTTTTCAATAGATAATAGAAGGATATTTGTAAACATCTAAGATTTGAATACTTAAATGCTTTTTTAATGTGTTTTTTGGTTGTTGGACAGCAGTTTGGCCCAATTCTGTAGAATGGCCCATATACAAACTATATTGAGTTTCTGATGAAAGGTCACATAAAGCTGTGGTTAATCACCACTTTCTTATTTCACAACGAGGTCACTGTCACGTCCAATTTCATCAATTTCACGCTCAATGTGTTTTATAAAAAAATTGTATGTACTGTAAGTGTGCTATGTAATGTGTTTCCTATGTAAACCCACCAGTGGCTGTTGGCCTTCAGCCTTTCTGTAATTTAAACGAAAGCAATGTGATATTTATTTCTCTTTCTCACTGGTATAATTATAATAAGGTCCTCATTACGTTGGTTTGCTTGTTTCAGAGTGCAAGCAGGACATGGACATTGTCATAGTGTTGGACGGTTCCAACAGCATCTACCCCTGGCTTCCCATCACTGACTTCCTGAAAAAGTTCCTCCAGAACATTGAAATCGGACCAGCCCGGGTGAGATTTTTTGGATCATAGTGCTTTGTCGAACAACCTTGTACTCTTGCTTTGAAATACCTTAGAAATCACACCAGTTTATTTTTGTCAAAGTTGTGTTCATCTAGTCTCATCTAGTGTCATCATCTTATATTAACATCATTTCAAGAACTATTATATAAAGACTTTCCATGGAGAAGCTACTGGGTGGTTTGATTCTAGGGAAGTAAAGGCTTTCTTGAGCACGCCGCTGGAAAATACGGCCCCAGAACGCTGAGCTGGGGGAAGACCACATATTCCATGGCTAAATAAATGGTCAGAGTTTTTTTTTGAGAGGATGACATCACATTTGAGTCAGCACAGACACAGACATTTAGCAGAGAGTGTCTGGGGGCCACCCAAACTGTCCATGTTTGGTAGCACCACCTGAACTTTATGTGTGTGTGTGTGTGTGTGTGTGTGTGTGTTTTTGCTTCTCCAGGTGGGCATCGTGTCGTACGGGGATGATGTCGGCCATGTCTTCAATCTCAGCCAGTTCAGTAACACAGAAGACCTTGTTACTGAAGCTGGCAGGATACCTCAAAGAACCGGCCACAAAACCATGACAGCTCTCGGCATTGATATAGCAAGGTGCTGCATACCGTTCAGTCCCAAAGTCTGAGGCCACAGTGAAAATATCATTCAAAATCTACTTTAAAGTTGGAATTTAGCTAAAAATTTAAAACCGAAGTTTTTAACTGTGTGCTGAATAACAAAAGGGGAACTAAGAAATAGAAATTCGTTCATTTTTTATACAAGTTACGCTGATAATATAATTTGTAATGAAAACAGTTGTATTACATCATGTTAATTAAAAGTCATTTTCACTGGTTAGTCTCAGACTTTTGGACCCTGATGTATTTTAGAAAAATCATCTAATAATAATAATCATTTTCAAAGCGTCTATTCAGACAAAGGAAGTCGTAAACATTGTGCAGAATCTTGACCTGATGTTGATGTTTTCTAAAGGAAAGAGGCCTTTACAGTGGAGCGAGGAGCAAGACCAGGGGTCAAAAAAGTCATGGTGATCGTCACAGATGGGGAGTCGCATGACCACTACGACTTGAAACGTGTCATAAAGGACTGTGAGAACGATGGTATTGAGAGGTTTGCCATTGCTGTAAGTACATGCATCCATGTGTAATTATAAAAAACAAATAACCAATACTGTGCTGCATGAATTCAGTGGTTTCAGTAGGAAAAAATAGAACCGATAGACTGTTTAATATGGCACATGTCATTTTTCTTTCATAGGTCCTTGGCGACTATAATCGGCAGAATAAAACCACTGAAGAGTTGCAGAAGTTTATTGATGAAATTGAATCCCTTGCTAGCGATCTCAAAAGCGATCATTTCTTCAATGTGTCAGATGAACTTGCTTTAGTGACCATCGTCGATGCCTTGGGAAGCAAGATCTTTGCCTTGGAGGGTAATGTTTCTAATGGATCACGATAATTTTTTTTTTTTTTTAGATCCCTAACCTTAAGTACTGTAACATATGACTGGACATACGATTTTCACATGGCAGATGATGAATCTGGCAAAAAGAAAAAGAGACTGGACTGGACCCGAGTCATATTTAACAGTGGCCGGTTGCATAAACTGCTAAGACTAGTCTTAAAGTTTAGTCATCTCATTTTTTTCTTCAAGACTGGTTAATCTTTTTAAAGTCAGTTTCATAAAAATGATTCTGTTTTGAATCTGAAAAGTAAGAATGATTAGCCCTAACTAACTGCTAGTTTTTTTTTCTCAAAAATAGTAAAATTCTAGTTATATAGTCTAATTATGAATATGAAAATGTTTTTTTTTAATGTCAAATGTTGTAGTAACCACAACTTTCTTCATTAAATCTGTGTAAAAAATTTAAAAATGGTCTTTATATCTAACAGCCACATCGGGGAAGCACACCTCCTCCTTTGAGATGGAAATGTCTCAGTCCGGATTCAGCGCTCACACGTCTAAAGTAAGTGTTCGATCAGTCTGCTCTCGTGAATATGGTGAAATAGATCAGATTACATCAGATGCAGTTCTTTAATTTACCTCATTCTGACATCCTGCTGCTAAGGTCTCGCATGTGTAGCGACAGAGGAAACACGCACACGGCTCAGTGGTTGGCTATGAATCAGAGAAGGAAGAGCTCTCTGAGTGTGTCAGTGTGTCACATCCTTTCTCAGTTTTACTGAGACGACAGTGTTACTTTAGTAACACATTTTAAAATGCATTGCTGGAAAATCTCTAAGCACATTTGGCCTCAGTCATAAAATGTGAACGGAACAAATTTTGTGTAAATTGTTTGTAGAAACATTTTTAGATAAGTTATCTCATCCATTGTTGCATATTGAATAGTAAAGGTTATTTCTTTAAAAATGCAAAAATAGAGGTTGGGGTGAGGCAATTACAATGTGAATGGGGCGAAATGTTTGAAGTTTTAAAAGCAGAAATGTAAAGCTGATCATTTTATAAAAGCACTTAGGCCTAAATGAATTCTTCAGTTTAAACGTCTATATTATTTGAGCTGTAAAGCTGTTTAAATCATAATTTTTACAGTCGGTTTAGGCAGTGCATTGCCATGAAATTTTAATATTTATGAATTGGCTTAATTCACTTCCATTGATGATCAAATACAAATATCGTAAGCTGAAGCTCAAACATGCTTTCTTGACTTACATATTGATCTTGTCATATTCCTGTAATATATGTCTTTCTGACAGGCAGGTGTTATGCTGGGAGCCGTGGGTGCTTTCGACTGGAATGGGACTGTAGTGATGCAAACTGGGAACGAGTTTGTCGTTCCAAAAAAAAACACCTTCCACGACCCTGAGGTGCAGAGGTACGAAGGCATGGCGGGATACGTAGGTAAGAAATCAACATTTAAAGGGATAGTTCACTTTGAAATTAATTTTCGATATGTTTTAGCTTACCTCAAGGGCATCCAAGATGTAGGTGTCTTTGTTTCCGCAGTAGTTTAAATTTTGATATTTTTAGGTCAAACCGTTCTTGTCTGTCAGTCATATAATGCAGGTCTATGGTCACCACCTCAAAGAGCATGCACAGAGAAGTCCAAATTATACATGATTTAATGACTCGTAAATGTAAGTACACATTGATGGCCTAAGATTTGTGTGAGAAAACGAACAGTATTTATATCGTTTTTACCTCTTGTAACGCACAGACCGAAGCGCCCGCGCCCTCAGATCACTTGGACGTGGCTGAGGTTACAAGAGGTAAAAACGATATAAATACTGTTCGTTTTCTCACACAAACCGCTCGTTTCGTGTCTTAGGCCATCAATGTGTACTTACATTTACGAGTCAGTAAATCATGTTTAATTTGGACTTCTCTGTGCATGCTCTTTGAGGTGGTGACCATTGACCTGCATTATATGACTGACAGACAAGAACGGTTTGACCTAAAAATATCAAAATTTAAACTACTGCGGAAACAAAGTCACCTACATCTTGGATGCCCTTGAGGTAAGCTAAAACATATCAAAAATGTATTTCAAAGTGAACTATCCCTTTAACCAATTCTTTTGGGTTTGCCACTCTTATTGATAGTAAGAGTAGAGAGTGGAGAGAAAATGATGCAGGGAGGGAGAATTGTAGCAAATGTCGTCACAATCGTCATATTTTGAACTAATGTCACCCGTATGAGTACCACAGATCAGTGTGTTTGAGATTGTGTCCCATCCCTGGAAATAAGCTTAGACTTGGCTTTGTCACAGCATTGGTAACTAGCTACACCTCTGAACTTCATACCTAGTTAAGGCATGTTAAAGGATTAGTTCACCCAAAAATGAAAATTATGTCATTAATGACTCACCCTCATGTCGTTCCAAGCCCGTAAGACTTCCGTTCATCTTCGGAACACAGTTTAAGATATTTTAGATTTAGTCCGAGAGTTTTCTGTCCCTCCATTGGAAATGTATGTACGGTATACTGTCCTTGTCCAGAAAGGAAACAAAAGACATCATCAAAGTAGTCCATGTGACATCAGTGGGTTAGTTAGAATGTTTTGAAGCATCGAAAATACATTTTGGTCCAAAATAACAAAAACTACGCCTTTTAAACATTGTATTCTCTTCCGGTTCTGCGTTCACGAGTCCGCAGTGACGCTGGTGACGTAAGATCTTTTACTGCGGACAGAACCGGAAGACAATACAATGTTTAATAAAGTCATAGTTTTTGTTATTTTTGGACCAAAATTTATTTTCGAGGCTTCAAAACATTCTAACTAACCCACTGATGTCACATGGACTACTTTGATGATGTCTGTATTTCCTTTCTGGACAAGGACAGAATACCGTACATACATTTTCAATGGAGGGACAGAAAACTCTCGGACTAAATCTAAAATATCTTAAACTGTGTTCCGAAGATGAACGGAGGTCTTACGGGCTTGGAACGACATGAGGGTGAGTCATTAATGACATAATTTTCATTTTTGGGTGAACTAACCCTTTAAGTGTTAGGCCAAGGCCATGAATGATTATACTTCTTGGGTACCAATAGTCAACAATAAAAATGCTGTATGTGCATATCAGAATGTTACATGCTTCATAAAATTTGTCTCAGAGAGGCAGGGAAGCTTATTATAGAAGACAGTATTGTGGTAGTAGTCTAAACACATTGTCACAATCTTCTGCCATCCCATAAACACTCACACGGTAAGTGCAAATGCTCACACTCTCTGCACATCCCCTTTTAAGGATGTCGCTCCAGAGTGAAACAAAGGGAGTGACTTGAAATTACTCTGCCTGATAAACATGTTTGGAGAACGAGCTGCGCAGAAGCGCCGTTTCGCAAATGCTGATTTGAAGAAAAAGATTTACAATCAGTCAAGTTGGTTTATTCTAACATTACTCCCAACGATGTCTGTGTCCTCGATAATGAAACCGTTTATGATTTCAGCCCCAGCTGTTTCATATTAAGCGTGTAGACTACTGTAAATTGTTTTAGAGATTGGGTTAGCTGTGTGGTAGTAAAGATTGCAGTCTGGTTTTGCTTGCAGGTTATGATGTGCAGTCAGCGTACACACCCAATGGAGTGCTGTACATCACAGGAGCACCACGGTTTAACCACAGCGGGCGTGTCATGGTGTACCGCTTCGACGGAGAAAATTTCACCATAATACAGACGTTGAAAGGAGAGCAGGTATATATTTATAATCACAATCTCTGAGCAATTTTTTTGGTGGATCTCTCAAAAATAGATGACATTTCACCCCTAAATAAAAAATAAATAAAAAAATTCAATATTATAAATAAATAAATTCAAAATTAATTGTAAAATCCCAATATCAAAAGAAAATAGACATTTAAAAAGAAGAACTGGGGGATCTGGTGTGTGGCAAGCACAGCGGGGTCAAGAGCAGTGAGAACAGAGCGAGACTGGTGGCGCGAGTGCTAATGAACATCACCTACGAGCCCCACGGAGGAGATCTAGAAGCATAAAAGGAGGAGTGACAACAGTGAAGGATGAGAGAGGACCAGGCCTGGACTTTCTGTTGTTGTGTTTTAGTTTAACGTAGCTGGTTCTCACCTCCTCCTTCCCTTATTAATGAACTTTGTTACATGGTGGTACTTTGGTTAGACCTGGACAACATTTATGGCTCGATGCCCCACAAGCTGGTGCAGGAAACACTAGAGAGGCACCAAGTTTCAACCTCAGTTGAAAGATACCTCATCCTGGATTACTACAGTGACTTCAGCCTGAATCTCTTCAGGATCAACAACATCAGAGTGGCACCGACTGCATGTGGGAATCATCATGCACTGTACCATCTCAGTGATCCTGTTTATTCTGGTGATGAACATGCTGGTGAAATCTTCAGAACTAGAGTGCAGAGGCCCCAAGTCTAAGTCTGGGATCCACCAACCACCAATTTGCATGAATGACTTAACAGTGACCACTGAGTCGAGCCTGGATGCAGCCGGGTCTTGAAGGAGCCAGAGAGGCTAAAGAGATGGGCCAGAATGTCATTTAAAGCCTGAAAAATCACGATCCATCATGTCAAAGAAAGGTAGAGTTGTGAATATGTTTCCTGTTCTCGATCTCAAAAGTACCTGTCACGGGAGAGAAACACAAGATCCTGTTGCGAATGAAAAGGCAGTTTATTAAGTAAACAGAGAAATATCAAGGCAGGATGAACTGATGCAGAGGTGCAGGTCGGAGTTCAGGTCTTGGCAGCAAGGAGACTGCAATGTGCTGAAGTCCGATGATCCCCGTAGAAATCAACCAATCGTGAACAGAGCAGATAGTCCAAAACTAGAGCAGGCAGGTAACATGGGAACTGGAGACAGAGAACCACTGACAGGGCAAGGAGACAAAACGTGAACCTCAGAATGATCTGACAATGAACACGACTGAACACAAGACTACTTATAGGACACATTAACGAGCCGCACCTGCAGCTGATCTGATAGCTCATCAGCGCAGTTGGTATCTAAGCGACGCTGATAGGCAATTAGACCAGGACAGTACATACAAACATAAACAGGCAAACCTGCGAACTGTGACAGTACCATTCTCTACTCTCTCATACCCCTTTTCCACCAGAATGTTTCGCATACCGGAGCCAGAGCCTGTTCTCGCCCAGGCAAACTGTAGCCTATCGCGAACCGGCTGCGTGTTTCCACAGACTTGAAGAACGTTGACTTGACGTAAGGCTACTATGTGTTGTTAACCTGTCTATAACCAGTCTAAAAAAACATTGCACATCCTGGTGTTTGTGCAGGAAGTGTGGCACTTCTGTTTTGCTGTACACAGTTCCGGGAGTGATTCTGCCGGTACTCTCATCTGTCCTTTTCGTAGAAAAACTGAAACGTTGATTCACTCGCTCTCTCGCACACTGGGTTCGAGACCGGTATGTTTTTAGGGCTGGAGTTGAACCGATCCATCTGTCCTGGGAACCCCCTTCTCTGCGGTAGAAATGCTTGGAACTGTTCGAGAATGGACAAAGGCCGGGAAACCGCACCGGAACCGTGTCGTTGCAAAAGGGGTATCAGAGAAGCTTGTAAAAAGTTGGGGGAGATCTTTGACTGTAACATTAAGGATACAGCATCCTTTAAGAACACCTGTGAGGAGGTGGAGGCATAGCTGAAAGAAGGTGATCAGTCAGGTTTCCCCAGAAGATTTAAGACGTGGATTTCCCAACATAGGATTCTACCAAGGATCCCATGTTGGCCAACACCCCATTATGGCCAATGCCTCTCTATGAGTTCCTGATCTCCACCATTTCAGATCTGGAGAGGAGAATTAGTTGCGACTTGAGTGGATGGAACAGTTGCTGAGGAGGAGTGGTCCAGCAGAACAATGGGAATGATACAGCAAGATGCCTGGACTAGTTGGGAACAAGCTTTGGAGAGAAAGATCTCATGGACAGACCTGTAGCGGCCAGAGCCACACCGCATCAGGTTCCTGGGCTAGGCGGTCTATGATGTTCTTCCAAGCCCATCCAACCTGCACCACTGGAGCCTATCAGTCACACCAGCCTGCTCCTTTTGCCAGAGAAAGGGGACACTAGAGCATATCCTCAGCTGCTGCTGCTCAAAGGCCCTGGTGGATGGCCAGTTCCACTGACAGCATGACCAAGTGTTCAAGACCATTGCAGAAAGCCTCAGTAGCACCATCATCAGCTCCCAGAGGCCAAATCTCTCAAAGAAAACCATCAGCTTCATTAGAGCTGGAGAAAATCCAAGGACAACACCTAAAGTAGCTGCAGGGCTTCTTAATACAGCGCAGGGCTGGCAGCTGACAGTGGACTTGGGTCAGAACTCAGGTTCCCTCAGCATGTTGTCAAGACCACCCTTAGACCTGACATCCTTCTGGTGTCAGAAGCAATGAAGAATATTGTCCTGCTGAAGCTTACAGTGCAACATGGAGGATGTGACTGACACACACAAGGATGGGGAGCAAGGTGCTACCTGTGGAGGTAGGGTGCGAGGCTTGGAAGGACAGTCCTTCTTTAGGGCTTATACTGCACACGGCATAACAGGCGAAAGGAAGAGGAGGGTCATCTATAACTGTACAGAGGCCGCAAAATAAAAACCTTCAGGTGGCTCTGGATCAAGAGAGCAGATCCATGGGAGAGTGGGAAGACCTTGGGAAACATCACTGATGATGTGCCCTAGCATAGCATCAGAAGATGTTTCATTACAACTCACCCTAAAATAAAATAAAATAAAAATTAATGAAATACATTTTAAAACAAGCTTAGATCACATTTCAACCCTAAATTAAAAATAAATGATATAAAGAAATTGTATTTTATTTCATTTTATTTTACGAAAAAAAATCAATAGAAAAAAATCTGAAATTAAAATTACTCTTTTGAGTGTTTTGTCATTACCATTGTAGATGGACATTGTACCTCAGTAGATTTTCATTACTGCAATTTAGTAATAGTGTTACAGTAAAAAAAAATCTTTTGATTTTTGTTTAAATTATTTTATATATACAAAGTTCTGTCATGAAACTTTAGATGGGGGAAACTTTAGAACTCTGTCATGAGACTTTAGATATATACAAAGTTCTGTCATGAAACTTTAGATGGGGTCCTGTTCTCTGTTCGGGCCTCTGTACTCTGTACAGATCTCATCGTTGTCTATAGGGCACAGCTGATTGGTTCCTGCTGCATTAGTAGCCAATGAGCTCGCTGCTCAACTTTCAAATAATTGGGTAGCATTTGCCTTAGCAGTGCAGCGTGCTTTCAGAAACCCTCCACCTTCCCCAGCTCCACCTGTACTGATCTGCTACGGGTAATTCATGTACGCTATATTGTACAGCAGCAGCATGTCTTACTTGCTCACATCAGCATGTTGTGTATGTAATGGCAGTAGCAAGTCCCGTATTTGCTCTGCAGCAACAGCAATAACCTACAGCACAGCAGCAATAAAGCAGCAGCAGCAGCGAAGCAGATCTATCCGCCAAGACCAAATATATCAACATGGTCATACCCATTACCATGCCAATGCACTTCGAGAGTTGTCATGACAGAACTATATATATAAAGCATATTTCTGTTTCATATTGTAATTTATCATTTTGTGTTTAAATTGCAGTTTCATTCTCAATGGTATATATTTTTTTTTGTCATGCTTTTCTTAGATCGGCTCGTATTTCGGCAGCGTCCTCCAGACACATGACATTGACCGTGACAATTACACTGACATCCTTCTGGTCGGATCTCCCATGTATATGGGTCCAGAGAGAGACGAACAAGGTCAAGTCTACGTCTACAAACTCAATGAGGTGTGTGTCTTTAATCTGTGTGTGATATGCCTCATTCCACATACTGAAAACACGTGTAGGGGAGTGTAGTACCTTCATTCCAGCCCGGGAGCATGTGGTAGCAGTAAATTTGGATCTGTCTTCAGGGAGTGTGTGTTGCGTTGGTGTTCAGCCTGAGATAAGTGGTCCCAGAGCAAGGGAAGGGTTGGAATGAGAGCTTGGCATCATGGGAGTGGAAATCGAATGAAACTGTAATATCTCCAGCAAAATACCAGCCTCTGTGGAGCACCTGCTCTCAAGAGCTTCCAAATAATGGTGTAAATGGAGCAATTTCTATCGGTTTTGCCTGTTGGTCAGTGTTTCTTTGTGAAGCATTTTAGTACACTTTATAGAGCCTACATATTATTTGTTTTGTTTTGTTTTTTCTCCAAGATTTTCAAATCACTGAATATACAGACTTCTTGTTTATTTGCATATTGAATTGTCATTTGTCTTTTCTTGCCTGTTTAACTCCATCTGTTTAATCATCTTTGCAACAATTTTATATTTTCTTGAAATTTCCATTGGAACCTACATTTCTTTTTACCTATATCTTCAACCACGAGACTGTAGGCCACGCTGAGAGCTGCAGTATCTCAGGCATTTACTCTGTGTCAAAATTGTTACCCTCAGGATGGGCTGTTTGAGCATGAGATGACGCTGAAGCCGGTCAATCAGACCTGTTGTACTGCTAACTCTCAGAGCAACTGTAAAAGCTTCAGTAAGAACGAGCCCTGCGGCTCACGCTTCGGCACTGCAATCGCTGCCGTTCCTGACCTCAACCTGGACGGCTTTAATGACATAGTGATCGGATCGCCTTTGGAGAACGACCACAGAGGGGCGGTGTATATTTACCACGGTTCTCAGAAATCAATAAAGGAGAAGTATGTTCAGGTAAGGAATCTTGACAGCATATCATCAAGTGGTCTTTAACATTGTGGTGGTTAGAAAGACAGACCCCCTGTATAAACATATTGCTTTTTAACATGTGTACAGTAAGATTAATATTTAATGTTTACATTGTATTTGTGATAAACTGCAGAGCTATTCAAATATGAATTATTGATGTACAGAGTCACTTGTTTGTGTTTAGCGAATTGCTGCTGGAGGAGATGGAGAGAGCATGAAGTTCTTTGGCCAATCAATTCACGGCATCATGGATTTGAATGGTGATGGCATCATTGACGTCACTATCGGAGGAATAGGAGGGGCCGCACTTTATTGGTGAGTGTGTTTGACTTAAAGTGTCATTTTTATGTGAGTGAATCTATTCTGTAGTGCAACATTTTAAATTCCCACTACTGTCTGGATCTAAAAAAGCCATGGGTATGAAACATGAACTCGCTACCCTCTGGATGTCTGTCTTCCTGGTTCCCACCCACAGCAGCTGTCTCAAATCTGGACCTGAGCCTAAACATCCCACATTGTAGAGGCTTGTCCGTCAGGGGTTATGTCCCTCCGCTACGACCCATTTCTGCTGGGCTCCGAATCTGTGTGAGAGTGCCTCCAAGCACGAAATAAACTCTTGGCAAGCGTTTCCTTTCTTAGATTCCCCTGTAGAGATCAGAGATTCCAGAGTGGCCACAAAATGACCCCAAATGCTGAGACTCTGCGACTGTAGAGCAAAGCCATGGATTCTAGTGACCTCTGCCATCTTCACTCCCCAAGCTGCAACACCAGCCTTTTAGGAGCTCTCCATTCGCCTCTAATTGACCACATATTACATTTTTTGGAGACCATCTGAAGTGTTTAGTTGGACTGAAATCAGTCTATGATCTACGAACCAGCTGTTGTTGTACGGAATGAAATGACACACCTAGTAATCCTCCAAATGCTGCTCCATTCACACAAACATCTTGTTGAATTCGTTTAATCCAGGTCTCGGGATGTTGCAGAGCTTCGTGCCGATATGACCTTCGACCCAAGCAAGATCAATCTGCAGCAGACCTGTCAGGTCCACGGGAGGACCACAGTATGTGTGAAGACCAAAGTGTGTTTCAAATATCGAATGAAGTCTGACAAAGACACAATCACAGGAACTCGTGAGTCACTGATGCTCTTTCTTTATGTTTTGCCAATCAAGTCTTTAATGTTCTGTGTTTTTAAATGCCGTTTCCCTTCAGTCATCAGGTATAATTTAACGGTGGACTCGCTGAGAGCGATTGCCAGAGGACGGTTTAACGAAACAGAGGACAGGAGATTGCAGAAGATCGAGTTGATCGTCAACGAGCTTTGCAGAGAGCACATCTTCTACACGTCGGCAAGTAAATCAGTTTTTCATATATAGTATAGACCTTAGTTATGTTAGACACCATATTGAATTGAACTCTTACAGTCTTTACAATGCAATGCACTGTATAAGGGTTCTGGATCTGTTCTAAAACTGTTTCATGGAGTTTCACGCACTGTATTCTGTCCCTCACAGCCTCGTTTTCATTCCTGTCAAAACTTAAATATGGCGCTACCCTGACTGAGGTCTGTCAGGGCTGCACAAACTTCTGTCTTGTGATTTTAGCTTTTCTTTGTGTACAGTATATGGTGTTTGTGTGAATGTATTTTTATAAAGAAGCGGCGCTACTAACTTAACTACAATTTTCAGTAGCATGACAGTAGGGCTGCTCGAGTATGTCAAAAACCATTAGGGTAAAATCGAAATCCAAAATCAATTACGATGAATCGCACAGCCCTACATGACAGTAACTTAGTAGTGTAGCTTTTCCAGTAACAAGTTACTTTTTCAAACAAGTAACAATGTAGCGCATAAAAAAGTCAAGCAAATAAGGCGATAATCAAAATAGATGTTTGTAGATGTAAAGATGTTTATAGTTATTAGTTGTTTATTTATTTAAAATGATATTAATGCGTACAATTACTTGAATAGACATATTCTGTGATGAATTTTTGAATTAAAATGAATTTTGATATTTTTCAGGGGTGTGAAGTGAAAAATGTCAGGTTGGTACAACCGTCCTGATGTCATAATGAAGAAAAATACCTCATTATCACAATCTTTAATTATTATTATTATTATTATTATTATTTATTTTTGGCATAATCTTTAATTATTATTTATTTGAAAAGAAAAAGCAATGATTAATTGTTGTTAAAATATTATAAACTTTTTAAAAACGTCGTCCGTCATGCGGTGCTACCAACAGGGAAAAAAAACACAAAACAGGAAATGGTATCATTGGTCAATAAGCCTCTTACAGTACCAGATAATTCGACATTTTCAGAGCATAAGATGTATTAAATATGTTCAAATGTCTTCTTGAATGTAATGTGTTTGGCTTTGAATAAACGTATCTGCCAAATCTATAAATGTAAAGCAGTGGTAGCTTGCGACGCAGACTGTACACTCCCTCCCTGTTTGTGCAGACTGGCTTCTTATAAAACCAGCCCCCGTTCTTCTCTGAAACCATTAACTGTGTATCTGTTTGCCTCTGATCTAGCTCATGTTACGTTTAACGTCTCTCAGTAGATAAAGAGCATAAAACTAAGCGTTTAAAAGTAGACGACTTGAGTTTAATAAAAGCCAGAGTTTCTCTGATCAAAGGCCCGAGGCCGTAAAGTCACTCCCAGCCTCCGTTGAGAGACTACAGCACGTCCCGCTTCAGTGCATGCTTGTCCTCTGAGCTCTAGAGGAAGTAAGCTATCCGAAAAGAACGTGCTGTAAGAGGCGACGCCCCCTTGTGTTAATGATGGACGACTGCAATACTGCATGATCAATATCAGAATATGACCTACAAACCAATAATACAGAGTTGATAATAGGCTGCTATAGCGACAGAATGAATTTGATACCATTTCTGAGTTGTCTGACTGACGTTAAGCTGAAAAAATTTGCAACATCCTTTATTATCCCCCACAGGATAAACTGGATTTCAGAGACCCCATTATGGTCACGCTGGAATTCGGTTTAGTGGATGAAGACAAGGGTCCAGTCCTAGACGGGGAATTACCGACGTCACTCAACAAGACTGTAAGATCTCATTCTCGTTCCTGTTGCCGAATCTGATCTGAGGTTTATACGTGTAGGTCAGAGTGTAACATTCACTGCTCCAGTAACCGCTCCACTTATAACGCTCATTAAAAGAAGGAGTAAATGTGGGTGGCAGCTGTAAGTTAGTCTAATGAAGTCTCTCTAATTTTACAAGCGCTGAGAGATTTTCTCCATGTTTGCTCTCTCACGCGCAGTTATAATGAGATTTTGATTAGCAGAAACTGTAATGGGCTGGCATAGGGAATGCCAAGACTTTTCACAATGGCCAAATTAATTTGTTTATTTTATAACCAATTTTGGATGTGCATATAATAGTGATGGGAGATACTAGGCTTTTCAAAACTTTGAATCAATTGAACCAATTGCTTCGTAAAATGATTCTGTTTCAAAGAGCTCAAAATGCCACACGCTATGTCTTATTTTATTAAAGCTGATTAAAAATGATCCAAAATAAATCTTTGAGCAAGTACATAACCAGCCAGTGTTCAAAACTATCTGCTTGCCTTAGCTCGATTCAAAACGGTAAGCTTGTAATAATGTTTTTAATTCCAGTGGTACTGGTGGATTTCCGCGGGAGATTCGAGCATGTCTTTGCGTCATTACATCACATCTGTACACATAAAGAAGGAGTCCCGGCTTGTATAGCCTTTTCTCACAGCACTTGAGATAATTAAACTTATCAATTTGATGGCGGATCCAGAAAGGTTCAAACGACAATCACCAGTGACAACAGACTCACCCGCTGTAAAATGCAAAAGACTTCGTTCGGACTTCGGAGTGGCTACAGAAAAAAAGAGACTGAAACCGCCCATGCGAAAACAAGGATAATATCGGAGGGGCATTACATGTAGTCACGCAATGCCGACGTTGTTAACATTAACAATTTGAGAACAAAGTATAATTCGCACGGTTTGACGTGATATGACAAGCGATCGTTAGATTTAATCAGCGCGATTTACAGCAATGCCTTTTTTTCCCTTAGTTGGTCAGAACATAAGCTGATGTTACTTACTTGTTCAGATGACATTTTCCGGTGAAAATTCTTATGTTGGTCATACTTCCAAAAAGTAGAATCTGTGATTCCGAATGACAGTATCCACAGCGGCGCGGCGACTGACAGCCGCACACTCTCCTCAAAACATTGTGTTCATCCGCGCTGTGTCGTGTCGAGGCACAACTCACGTAAAGCTGATAATTCCGTGAATAACTGTAATTGCAGATTTCGAACAGAGATGGCGACAAAGAGGAAAAACTACAGACTGCAGCTTTAAATTTCTAGGACTTGTTTTGTTTGTTTTATAGAGAGCTTGGTCAATCTAACCAATAACTAACTCTTCCTTTTTATTATACAAATGTGTCATTAAATGTCAACAAATTTATAAAATTAATCAGAGATCAGGAAAAGGTCATATAGACACTGGCTCACGTGTTCACAGAGATTGCCACTGAAATTCGAACCATTGAAATTTAGAAACTTTTCGAAGCAGTTATGACGTAAAGAAGCCTTGTTTAACGAAATCACATGACTTCGGGTGTGTTTGACTTGAAGCGGCGCTGAGCAGACCGATCGGTGTATGACATCAAAGTACAGCGAGAGCAGACCTATAGCTGCATTTCCACCGCAGGAACTTTCCCCAGGATCTAGGGACTTTGGGAATTTTGGGACTTTGGGAACAGGCAACATTGGTATTATATGCATAGGCCTACAGTATAGTGGGGGATTAAACACGTTGGGTTGTGATAGGCTGGAATGGAACTGGAGGTTTCTTAACTCAATGTTTTATTCCCAAGCAGACAGCTTTGCCAGCTCACGAGATAAGGTTATCAGGAGGAAGAGCCGGTTTTCCTGGAGACATCCCTGAGCAGTGTTTGCCAGTGCTACTCCCTGACGTTCTGTTGTTCTTGTCCTCCCTTCAGAAAAAGCACTCAAACAAGAAAACAATTCCTGACACAAATATTTGCGGGAAACTGTTGGCTTAATGCTTGTAATTAAATGGCATCGTTGGAAAAGGGAGTGAAACGAAATCTGGCAGGAAAATTATTTAGAAATGTTTTGCCAAACATTGTTTAGCAAACTTAAAGGGATGAAGATGTTTTGAAGTGTGTTTTTACAACCATTCAAGCACGTCAGAATAATTCTTCCTTTATTACTTTACTTTGTATTTTCTTTCGCTCTAGATCGCATTAGTAGACTGCGGGAATGATGACAAGTGTGTTGCTAATCTACACCTTAAAGCCACTGCAAACATCTCAAGGTATTAATAGTAACTTTTAAAATGTATTCGGTCTTCATGTTATTTTCCTAAAATGTCTTTCTGATTCTTCTGTCTTTAATATAATTATTGTTGTAGATTGACAAAATTATGACAGGACTATGTCATTGTGGCTGTTTTATTCATATTGTAAATGTTTTCTGGTGTATTCCAATGTATTTAGTCAATTCTTGTCGTCTGCTGCCCCCTTCTGTTGACTTTAGAAAGAATAAATATTCCCTGTTGGGTTGTCCTGTTATTTTCATCAGACTCAGATTTGTCCACAAGGCATGGAACAGGATAACAGAAGCAAACTAGAGCACTGGATGCAAACTGACTTTGTCTATCTCTTATTTCTGTATATTTATAGTCTTCTCATAAAAAGCAACCAAGAGAAGTTTTATGTCAACATCAACGTCCGCAACAGTGGAGACAATGCTTATAATACCAGGGTTACACTGAGCCACACGGAAAATATCAACTATGTGAAAGTTGAGGTAAGTCAACTGTAATGGCATCATGTAAATAACAGTGGGTTTTAGATACTGTAGATCAGTCAGTGCCGGTTGGTCTAACAAATCAGTGAATGTTTAAGTCATTTATTACATCTAAAATTTAAAAAAAAATTGGTGACAAAAACAGTTTCTATTTTATTTTATTTTTGCAGCCTAAAGAGAAGGACTGTGAAACAAATAATACCAGAATACTATGTGCAGTTGGATATCCTTTCCTTAAAACTGATAAAACGGTGAGATTTGCCTCTGCAATCAAATTAGCATTGTTATATTTCATTCTGCTTACACTGTTTATCATTTCAATCCAACAGGAAAGCTTCAAAATCCAATTTGAGCCCAATCCCTCTCATATTCGTAAGGACATTGTGATTAATGTTACTGCAACAACGTAAGAATTACGTTCATGACTACTCCTTTGAAAGTTACCAATGAAATCTTCTTTTTAGTGTTTGACTCACTTGATCAAATAGAGAATAAGGATATTTTGATGTATATAATTAATTTTTCACCACAGTGATAGTGAGGGGTCAGACTCAGCACTGAAAGACTACTTTGTGAGCATCGTCATCCCTGTGAAGCATGAAGCCAACCTGCGATTCATTGCGTAAGTGCCTTAGTTAAACCATCCAATCAGCTTTGCCAAAACCAAAAGAATTGAACTCAACTGAAGTTAACTCTAGATTTAACAAAAGCAGTTTGCACTATTTGTATGGGGTTTTTTTTATGTTAAAAATCATATTTTGTAAAAAAAATTATATAAACCAGAAGTACTGGTCAGATTGTCATTTCATGTTTTTATTGTAGTAACAAGTACATGAAGGAGGACCACATCATATTGAAAGAGAAGGAGACAATACCCAATTTTTTCAACCACACTAGTGTGATCGGAGACGAGGTGAAAATCAGCTACACGGTAAGACTCAAAACCTCAACCTGGAGTTTGAATTACTTCCATCATTTGGTCAAGAGAAAAAAACAAATGAGGAACTGTGAAGGAGAACAATGTCTATGCCATACTGTAGTAGTTCATATAAAACATTGCGTAAACTACAGTATGTCACCATACTGTACATATGAGCGACATACTCTTGGAGTCAAATGGAGTCTGATGCAAATGTGAAATTGACTTGTTTTGGGTGTGGACATGATCCAGATTCATTTAAACTGGTTTAAGTGTGAATGATTTGTTGATCCAGAAATGTAGTTCTGACAAACCGATTTGGCTCAGTGCAACTATGAAATCACAAAGGCTGCGATTATTTTTTTTATGCACGGCTTGTCAGTAAAGCACGGCTCTGTGATTAGTAGTAAACGCTGCTCCAACTGAAACCACTGTGAGTTTGAGTCGCTTATAACCAGTGTTTGGAATAACGCCGTTTAAAAGAATGGCGTTAGGTAACGACGTTATTTTTTCAGTAACGGGGTAATCTAACTAATTACTTTTCCCGTCGTTACAACGCCGTTAACGTTACTGGACGTTAAATGCGATGCGTTACCACGGGCGTCAGTTTGGTTTGAAATGTGCTGGGGACAGATGCATTCGGAAGTGCATTTTCAGAAAAGCTGGGTAGCCTACAAACTGTGCAGTCTCTCTGCTCAACCCGTAAATAAATCATCGATCCACAATTATTGTGTGAGTTCTTGAATGGTCTAGTGGTAGAACTTTCGCCAAGCGTGTCAGAGGTTACTCCTCGCTCCAATAGGTTTTTTTTTTCTCTCATCAAAACTGAATATGTTCATCAGTGGTTACATTCTATATCAAGCAGGGACACGGGACGGTTGAGTGCATTTTATTTTTGTGATTTCACCGGAATGAATAGTCTCCACAACGGCGATAGATTGAAGAGCGCGTCCGAATGAAGACTGCGCGCGCGCCGCCACAAGAGAACAAATGCAGCCGCGGCAACGAGCGCTCAGCTTGAGTTCAAAACCAAAACAATTTAACGCTAGATCTCTTATTTAATAGCGAACTAAATGAATGCTCTGCTAGTTAACTGGAGATGTTTTATTTATTCGTTTCTAAAACTGGTGGGTACAAAATGACTCGTGACAAAATCACGAGTGCGTTTTTGTGCGTTACTATGTATTGATTGAATAAACTGTGTAATCTGAACGCACCCCTGGCTCACACAGCTAGTGAGGAGGTGGGTTAATAAGTGCAGTGAAGTGAAGTGAAGTGAAGTGCAGGATAAACCTCTTGCTGTCTGTCGACATAGCAACTTTTTTTTAACAGTAACGCAAATAGTTACTTTCCCTGGTAACGAGTTACTTTTATTATAGAGTAATTCAGTTACTAACTCAGTTACTTTTTGGAACAAGTAGTGAGTAACTATAACTAATTACTTTTTTAAAGTAACGTTCCCAACACTGCTTATAACGTGCATTTGAAAAAGCAACACGCGTCAAACATCTTTCCAAACATGAGAAGCATTTATGAACCTCTTGTCAAACTAAAGACAACATTTAATACAAAATGTTGTACCGGTACTTAACTCACTTCATTATGACAGTGGAGCATCCTTCTGTGAGATGATGTGGCTCCTTACACAGAATAAGGCACAGAACATATTATTTCATAGTACTCTTTACAATGATAAAGGCTATGTCGATTAGCATTGAAGTATAAATATACTTTATTATCATGAAAGAAGGCTTGTGGAATTACCCGAGAAGGCTTGTGGAACTCCATTTATTGTCGTAGTCGTGTTTATTAGTCATGTTTAATCAAAGCGTTTCAATCTTCTGTTTATTCAGCAACAGCGATAGTATGATGCCCACGGGTATTTCCTGGACGTGCGTTATCGTACTTCTGCGGGGCATATTTGGAGTGTCTGCGCGAGAGCGGCCTCTGGCTTTCAGATTCTGACTGATTTCTGATTGTGTTCAACAGATTGAGAGAGAACCTGAAATGCCGAGTCCTCCACTGCTGCTCACGATAGTGTTCCCGTATCAAACGTCTGCGAAAAACTTGCTGCTGTACCTCACAGATCTCACGCACACAGCGGTAGGTGCTCAGATTCCTCAAGTGGCCCCATTTACATGACTGGCTCAGAAACATCTCAACTGCCTCATTTTGTTCTTATAGAACATCAGCTGCGATGCCAAAAAATGGATGAACCCTTTACTCATCAAGCCTGACAACCCTCATGCAGTGAATCCTAAAAAAGAGTCCTTGAGCGTCTATCTTTTGGTGAGTAAGCATCGCTTTTCTTATGAATATGTGAGTTGGAAATGGGTATCTGATCGCATCTCAATTTTTTTCCGTCTCCCAGAGTTGTAAAGAAGAAAGAAATCCCTGCGTGTCCTTTAGCTGCTCCATCCCTCCTGGAGACTTCAACCAGATCAACAGCACTTTCAGAGTGTGGCGACCCACCTTCATCAAAGTACGCTCTTCCGCTTGAACGTTCACTTTCACGTTCTGCTATGTATGATCTGTCAGTATGCTGTAGTAATATACTTTGCCGTCTGAAAAATGAATCATTTATAGGGAGAATTTGCCAGCATTTACATGGGTGTCGATGCCAAGCTGGAGAACAAGAACACGGACCTGTTTGTGTTAAATGATAACATCAAGGCCAGAGAGGTATGAAAGCAAGCCAGCCCTGGATTCTGCACTGATATCAATATGAGTATAATTTTACATTAAATTCATGACCATTAAGATTACAAATTGCATCAGGCTCAGTCTATATTTAAAAGTGCTGTAAGGGATTTTTTTTTAAACCGCACATAAATTGTTCCTGGTACCAGCCAATTACCTGATCTATATATATGCTTTTTTTTTTAGCAAAAGACATCAAAAACACACATTTTGCCCCAGTTTATGAAACCCTTGGCACTCACTTCTCAGCATGTCTTCTCAGTTCATCATAGGATCATATACTCATGGTGACTGTCAGGCATGTCAGAAAGTGAGTTTGAGTAACTTGTAGATCTGTGCTGACTCGATCCTAAGACTGTTTCGGAGAGTTCAGTACAATTTAGTAGAAGTGGTTTAAAAAAGAACCGGTTCAAAAGAACGATTCATTGGACATCTTTACATTACAACCGATGGATTGAACCAAGTCCAGCCCTACATCGTTTTCTTTTTTGATAATCCATTTCACTCAGATCTACTTCAAAATTTGTAAGATCTATCACTACTTTTGTTTCATCGCTACTTTAAGGGTGTGTTCACACTTGGCATGTTTGGTGCAACCAAACAAGCAGACCGAGACGCTGAAAAGAAGAGTCTCGCTCCGCTTCCAAACAAACTCTGGTGCGGTTCGACTGAAATATGATGTCACAAGATGCGACCCTAAAAAAGGACAGAATGCTCAAGCATACCGTTTTTTTTCTCGTCATGTTGCACATCACAGTTTGGTACAGGCATCAGAACCGTGTCTCCTCACTCTAGATTGTTTGTGTGTGTGACGGAGGGATTCCTGACGCTGTTCCCTGATCTTATAAGCTCTTCATGAGTTCTTAGCTGGTCAAAATACCATCATATGTAGGCTATGCACATATAACGAGAGCATTAGCATTAGCAATTAGTACTCCATGTTAGCTTTTAAAATGTGACCAGTGTTACATCTTTACTGCAGGTGAAGATTCAAGTCACCAAAGACATACGAAGCGGAATCCCACTATGGATTATTATCCTCAGTATTCTTATAGGACTTTTAATACTGGCCCTTGTTATCTTCGCTTTATGGAAGGTAAGCATCACTATTTTGCTTATGTTATCTCAGCTCTGCACATCTTCAGTGCAAACGTGCTATGCCTCAGTTATGTTGAATGTTGACTCTGTTTGTTCTCCTCCAGGCTGGATTCTTCAAGAGAAAATCAGTTAAAGACATGAAGGAAGATATGAAGGACTCTGATTGAAGCCTGCGGTTCTGTAGCCTCCATCCCTCAGGTCAACTCATACTTCACCTCTAGCCAAGAGGTCACATAGCAGGACCATCTCTAGGAACATTCAGAAATATGAAGATCAGAGTCTGGGTTCACCAAAGAGAACCCAGCGCTTTGCTTGACACTTTGATTCATCTTCATGTGTTCACTGCAAAATTCGACTGAATGTGAACTCAAGTGAACCTCTGAGACGCCACAAGATTGGTGGACATTTTGCCAAACCACGAGAGTCAAGCTTTGTACAGCAAAGCATCAAAGGTTCATCTATAGCCTGAACTCAACATCCCACCAGCCACGGACCCTCATCTGTAAGCCCCCTACGGCATTCATCATCAGCATAGCAAGGCTCAGGAACCTGTCCTGGAAACGTCTAGAGTTATCTACAGTCCTGTAATCAGAACCATACACTCTTATTGGCAGCCGGTTTATATATGGAGGTCTATTCCAATAACTCACTTTTAGAGCTTGTTTCGACGAATCACTGTACAGTTTTCAGTTCAAAGCATTTGTTTTGATTAGTGTTATGGGCTATGAATATTGGCACATTCCTTTTTGTTCACGAAGCAACTTTTTGGCACTGATGTTTTTCACGCTTTTTGTCTTCAGGAATGAAGAGGAAAAGGCCTGTACTGTAAATGTAAAGCTTAAAGTGTATATAAAGTTATGTTTGCAATATCGCTTTAATAATGAAATAATGGCTTTATCAAAATAATTGCATCATCTGTATTCAGTCTGATACCTGCCATGTTTTCTGAGGTAGAAAGCGTCTTGATGCCCGCAGTGTTTCTCAGGTATTCCAGATGGTTTGCAGACTCAGTGAATGTCTGGGTCATAAAATTGGACTGCCATCAACTTTTTTTGTTTTTCTTTTGTTTTTGCCATATGTAAATATTAGAAAAACAATTACTTGACTAAATGTTAAAGCTAAAGTGTGTAATTTATGCATCACTAGCACCACCAAACTGAACAATGACTGTTTTCAAACAGGATTTCCAGACGGTCTCCTATTGGACGACAGCCCCGCCTTAAACTCACACCATTGGTTGAGTAAATTTTGCTGTTGTCGGCTGGCTGGGAAGGTCCAGGAAACAGAGCAATGTTTTGAGATCATTGAATTCACTGACTTACAGATGCCTGTTCATATTAAGCCAGACCAGAAGAAATATTTTAACAAAAAAGTGTGTGTGTGTGTGTGTGTGTGTGTGTGTGTGTGTGTGTGTGTGTGTGTGTGTGTGTGTGTGTGTGTGTGTGTGTGTGTGTGTGTGTGTGTGTGTGTGTGTGTGTGTGTGTGTGTGTGTGTGTGTGTGTGTGTGGGCCTGGTAAACCCTACGTTATGGGGACAAAATGTCCCCACAAAGATGGCAATATCCGAAATCCTTGTTCGTGTGGGGACATTTTTTGGTCCCCATGAGGAAATCAGCTTATAAATCATACTAAGTGATGTTGTTTGAAAATGTAAAAATGCAGAATGTTTCCTGTGATGGGTAGGTTTAGGGATAGGGGCAGTGTAAGGGAATAGAATATACAGTCTGTACAGTATAAAAATCATTATGTCTATGGAAAGTCCCCATAAAACATGAAAACACAATGTGTGTGTGTGTGTGTGTGTGTGTGTGTGTGTGTGTGTGTGTGTGTGTGGCGATCCCTAAGAGGAAATAGTTTCTGAGAAACAGCAGAAATAGTTAAACCCATAGTGCACACCACTTGACATATAGTGCAGTTAAATTAGCCTATGCAAAACATGAGACTTAATTACATATTGCAAAGGGTGAAATCAAACATGGTGTAGGCTACATATTATGCAGTGCCTTAATTTGCAATGCACTGACTCTCTGAATGGAAAGAAGAAATCTTTCTTTGCTTTTTTACATTTGTAATAATTTTGCATTAAGCCAATGACTGTTTTAATATATATATATATATATATATGCAATATTATTTTTGCAACAGCTAACCAGAGTCTGCCACAAACTCAAAGTATAAAAACCTCAAAACCAGTTATTTTCTTCCCATTTTCATTTTTCTTTGTAAAAACCATGTGCAACATGTGAAACTTACATTGCAAGCTTTTACTGTACGCATGTTGCCATTGTTTGCCATCAGTGAAAATATATTTTCTTTTCAATATATTTTGTTTTTAATGCTCCCGTTGTTGCCACAAACATGTAAGTGCAGAATGCTAGATGTGGCAGAGATGCTGGAAATTTTGCTCGACCCTCAAGTGTGAATATTTATCACATTCAGCGAGAATGAGCAGTTTTCTCAACTCTGTTTTAGAATATGAGTACTAAATATAATTCAAATATTTTAATTTAATTAAATTTAATTAGTGGTTTGATTGAAAAGTCATTCATTGGTAAATATGGTGTTAAGGAAGTTTCAGAACAAGGGCTTTCTTTAGTATTCCTGTGGTAGCCCTACTGACTTATGATCTGTAGTACAGCTTATCATACAATTGTCATTTCAACACACAATTTTTGTTCTTTTAAGTTGGCATGAAAAGAGTTATTGCTGTGTGGTTCAAAAGGTTGTTCACAGGCTCCATTTCATATTTGCCACTGTAACTTTAACATCAACTGTCATATATTTGTATCATAGTCACGTTTTTTCTTGTACATTGAATGAGATGCCAACCATTATTCTATTGTATATAATATCACAATCTACAGTATTCATGTTTCAAACACATAAAAAGTGTTTAAATATAAGTTGTTTAAAACATGCAGGATAATCGAGCCTCACTCTCAGATGGAGACCATCGGTCTTGGGCACATGTGAGACACTGCTGTGAAGTTTCTATGTAATGCACTGGTTTGTCATATTATTGTACATACTTTTCAGCACGGATTTAAAAAGCCTTGCACATGCTGTCACGAAAATGTGCGGGGGGGGGGGAATAAATTTGTAATTTAGACACTTCAAGAGACATATTTGTGTGTTTTTATTTACCGTAATGACGTAGCAGAAAATGAGCATATGCATAATTACATATGCATCCTTCACGTTCAATAGTTCCAAGTGAAGAAAAGGCAGAATCGCCTCTTCGCAGATAAAGTTGTTGTGTTCTGTTAGTGAACGAATCACTCATAAAAACTGTCACCTGTCGCCGCCAACCGGCGCAAGGATGTAACGATCAATTAAACAAATTTGACGACTGGACCCAATTGTTGTACGAGTCGAGACGAGTATAGCTTAAGTTAATTATTGGTAAGTGTTCCTTGATCATATCAATGTCTAGTGAAGTCAATAACCATTTATCATGTTTATAGATTTTAGATGCATTGATAAGTTTGTAAAAAATTTGCCTTTGAAATAACATCTGAAACCAAGTTTTGCACACATATTTCATAAGCCATATGTCAAGGTTGTGGCTTATGAGTCTTACTTGCTTCAGCGGAATTGCAGAATTCAACAGAAATGTCAGTGGGAAACATTTCCTGTTTGCTTTGAAACTATGCCAGTGAGGTAAACTCCTCAATTACATCCCAGTCTGAGAGATTAAATCCCGTACGGAGACTTGGGTTAATCATTGTTTGTGTGTGTGTGTGTGTGTGTGTGTGAGTCATGGTCTGCAGTGGGATCACTCATGTTGAGCATGACTATTACTATTACAGTGCTGTGCTTCACCTTCCTCAGCCGCTTGACTCCGCCCCTCCGCCCACCTGTCCACGCCCAGCCTAGTCCAGTTCAGCCAATAGGAACGCAGGAAAAGACCGAAGACGAGGCGCACCTGCGCATAATGTCTCAACTTGTTGCAAATCTCTTTTTTATTACATAATTACATGAGTAAATTGTGTTTTTTTGGTCCTTTATTGGTTTCCATAGTCTATCCCTGTTTTTTTTATCTGTCTTTTCTTCACTTTTCCATTTGGATTCTTATAAAGTGTGAAAAAAGGTGTGTTTTTCATATGTACTGTTCTTAAGATAGCTGTGAGTTTCCTTATTTGGTCAGTTGTTTGCATTTTGTCGGCTAATGTCAACATCAAAGGAAGATCCCAATCTGGCCAGAGCTGCACTGATGACATCATATCCTGTCATAGTAATTTTTACCCTGAGCCTGAGTTCAGGTTGTTTCATTATGCTTGGAGGCAACACTATCTGCTCCTTCTCCCTAACAATTTCTCCAGCAATGGACAAAATGAAAAAAGTTGTGATACTACTGATATTACTGCAGAGTGAGTACTTTATGTTTATCAAATTATGTTTACTAGTTATTAATCTCCATAGTTTGTACTTTTTTATACATTTGAGGAGACTGACATTTACATTTGGATTTTCAGATTTTGTGTTAATGATCTGATAATGAAAATGTTCCTACTGAATATCTAAACCTCTTTAAAACAAAAGAAAAAAAGATAAACTTAAATTGTACAAGATAAGACAATAAACTGACAATAAAATGTATCTTGAATTAAGTTTATTTCCCCTTGATGAAACGTTTTACTTGATAATGCATGGAGGAGATCCAGTCACATGATTAAATCAAATGTTATTTCTTAACAGCAGACAATCAAATAATAAACGAAGAGCAAAACTAATTCATCCATAATCCGGATTAATAGTTTAATAAAGAAACATAAAATTAACAGTTAAAAGGACTTATGATATTTCTGAGTAAAATAGTTCCTCTTTTCATAGTATGTCGAAGCAGACACACAAGTCATTACATATCTATAAAACATTTCCACATTTCCTGAGTTGTTAGCCCGTAGCCTAGACTGCAAGGTGTTTAACATCCGTTTACCACTTTATTTTGAGACATTCGAGCATTTGTGGTCTGTCTATCGGACACAAATAGACTCTTGCCGTCATCTAAACACTAAGTGTCCTATTTTACGCAAGTGTCAAGCGCGAAGCGCAAGTAGCTTTGTGGGCGGGTCTTGGGCGCTGTTGCTATTTTACCGGCGGGATAAATGACTCTTGCGCCCGACGCAAGTTTAAAAGGGGTTGGTCTGAAATAGCTTCATTATTCATAGGTGTGGTTTGGGCGTAACATGAAATAAACCAATCAGGGTTGCGTTTCCCAAAGCCAACTATGGTCGCAAGTTCCGTCGTTACCAATGGAGTTCAATGGAAATTGCGATCATAGTTGGATAACGATGCTTTCGGGAAACGCACTCCAGAGCGTCATCCAACATACCCTTTAAGAGCAGGTGCGCATGTTGCATGGCGGACTGTTATTATTATGGCGTATTTACCAGGCGCGCACCAGGAGCGGTTCACAGCCGAGGAGACCGACGTTCTTGTCAGGGCAGTGAAAGACAGAGAAGTGACGTTGTATGGGGATGGTCAGATGTCCTTATATAAATATGTGTCTTGCCACAATTGGGCAAACAGGTCTGATCCGTCATTACTACATTTGGGTATGTGTAAGCTAGATTTAGGCCTACATTTTTTTACATCTTCATGGACACCACAATGATTTCCCTCATGTGTTAATATTTTTCCTTGTTATAATGTATGATTTGCAAAAATAAAAGCGGGCATCTGTGTTGATGAGAGAATCAAAGTGTATGCTCGTTGTTCACCCGCTACATTATGGCCAAGCATGCGCGCTTAAAATAGCATTATGAACAACGCACAACGCGCCACTGACTTTAGACTAGGTTTTTTCTGGTCAGTGGCGCAATTTTTTTCTGGAACAGCAAAATAGCACTAGGGAATGTTTGCGCCGAAACACGCCTCCTTTTTGCGCCGACCCGCCCAGGGAGCGCAAGTTCATTCCCTAGTTTGCCGACGTGCGTCTGTGGAGGGAAAAGCCCGCTTTGCGCGGGTGCAAAATAGGAATGATACATGCGTCAGTGTACAAAGTCATTTGCGCCGGGTGCAAGATAGGGCCCTAAGTCAAACAGCTACATTTGAGGCATAAAGATTAATAAAATAAAAGTATTAAACCTACACTTCAAATGATAATAATGGTAAACACATCAAAATGATAGTAATGAGAAACACATCAACATGATTATAATGATTTCTTAAAATATGATGATGACATTTGATTAAATGGTATTTAAGGTCTAAATGATTAAATGACATAAGCAAACGATAAAAAATAAGCAAGAAATATCATTTTTCTTTTTCTGATTCATCCTTTAATTTAAGAATAAATATTAATAAATGTAAAATAATTGGCAATTGGGAAAGAACATTTTTAGATAAATTGAGATAATTTATTAATTCAAGCAATTTTGCTTTTCAAGTAAATTGAGGCTATTTTAGTTATGTTCTAATATTTTATTTTACTTTTTTATTTCTTTTGATGTCCATCCATGCTCTTGGAAAATAAATATATTTTTGTGCATGATAAATCAGTGTCAGTCCCATATTGTTGTGAGGGTGCAAAGTCTATAAGGGTTGAGTTCTCTCTTTGACTAGTATTGTTTGAAATATGCCGACACACTGCTGGTCAATAGAACGTTTTACCAATGTCAGATGTCCCATATTGATGTGTTTGTAGAACAAGCAAACATGCTCAAATGACATTAGTCTAAATTCACTGAGAATGTGAACTTTTCCTGCAGGTTTCTGTATTACTCGCACTCAGGGTTTTAATGTAGGAACTGCAGGTGCCAAAATCTTCTCATCAGGTTCTGCGGTGGAAGAGTTTGGCTTCACTGTACGACAGTTGAGCAATAATCAAGGAAAATGGTAAGATCTGTCACACACACCGGGTATTTTCTCCACAACATATTTGAAATGTAGAAAAATACACTGAAGTCTATTTGTGGAAGTGTCAGACTAATGCATTGAGACATAGTCACAGATTACAGTGGAAAAAAGGAGACTTTTTTAATGACTAATGCCTGTCAGGAACAGGAATTGTCATCTTTTTTTCTTTTTTTTCTTTTTTTTTGTCTTATTCTTAGAAGGGAGATTTTGTGTCATTGTTTTAGTAGAGGAAAATCTCTGCCAGGTTTAATATCATAATCGCTGGCAAAAGTCTGCATGCACAGTTTGTTTGCATAATCTGTTTGATTGCATAGAGAAAGTGTGTTATTTGTCCTCAGGCTACTGGTAGGTTCTCCCTGGAGCGGATACCCTCAGGATAGAAAAGGAGACCTCTATAAGTGTGACACTGGTGGTCCAACCAGATGCCAGAAACTAAACCTTCAAGGTAAATTTCTCTTTATTTTAAAATAATAATGCACTTACAAATAAGTATTGTGGTATTACCATGGGCTTTGGGCATGGTCGATGATAATACCATGGAGTACCATGCAAATGCATAATGAATATGATAGCCTATCATTCAGCACCATTGTATTGCTATCTGAAACAACAGTTCTTTTTTGTAAAGAAAAGTCGGAATGAAACGGAAGTTGCGATAGTCTTTTCTTCTCTACTGTGAAGTATTGAAACGGCTTTTCAAACAAGAACAAATGTAGGGCTGGACTTGATTTTGTCCATGGGGAAGTGATTGGATGGTTGTGGTTTGCTATTGGTCAATCTCATGTGAGTGACAGGTTGCCCCGCCCTCACGCCAGTAAACATAAGAGAAGAGATGACGCTGCAAGAGGAAGTTGTATAATATTCCATAAAAACATGAATTGTCTATTTTGATTTCCTGCCGACTTTAAAATATAACCAATAGGATTTAGATTTTTCCCAAAACACATGTGTGTCTTCGCAGACTCTGTCAGCATAGATGGTGTGCAGAGCATCAACATCAACATGAGTCTGGGTCTGACTCTCACTCCGACAGCTAAACCTAACGGATTTATGGTATGATGTGATAGCATTGTGTCACCAGAATCTTCTTTAAAAGCATTCATTCAATCCTTGTCATATTGAAGACACTCTGTTATGGATTATAGAATAAATGCTTGTGTTTCAGACCTGTGGTCCTCTGTGGGCTCAGCGCTGTGGCAGTCAGTACTTCTACCCAGGAGTCTGTGCTGAACTGAGCCCTCAGTTTACACTCCAGCCGGCCTTCTCTCCTGCCCTTCAAAGTAGCCCACAGCTTAGTTTTTACTGTCAGAAAGTTACCAAATACATGTTTCTTGGGTAAATTAGTCATTCTTAATCTTCTAAATCTGAATTTCTCATTCAGCTTGTGGAGGGCCAATGGATGTTGCCATTGTTTTGGATGGATCAAACAGCATATATCCGTGGCATGACGTTATACGCTTTCTCTCCCACCTTTTGGAAAATCTGGATATCGGACCAGATAATACTCGAGTAAGAACTGTTATGCAGGTTATCCTGATTCAATTTTGTCTTTGATTTATATGATATGACTTAATTTGGATTTTGTTTTTTTTAGGTCAGTATTATGCAGTATTCAGAGGACTTGTCCTTTCTTTATAATTTTAGTTCTGACCCGAATAAAGAAAAAGTTCTTTCAGCGGCTTTGGCTATTACCCAAAAAACTGGAATAGAAACCAACACTTTTGCGGCACTTGACAATGCCAGGTACCATTTTTTAATTTAATTTAATTTAATTTAATTTAATTTAATTTAATTTAATTTAATTTTATTTTATTTTATTTTATTTTATTTTATTTTATTTTATTTTATTTTATTTTATTTTATTTTATTATTATTTTTATTCTTTTTATTCTTTTTATTCTTTTTGTTTTATTTAGTTATTTATTTTATTTAAAAAAAAAAAAACAACGTTTGTGATGGTTTGTGCTTCAGACAAAAAGCTTTCCTACCAGAAAACGGTGGGCGTCCAGGTGCCACTAAGGTGTTGGTAGTGGTGACGGATGGAGAATCTGCTGATGGTTATAAAGGTCAAGAGGTCATTGAGAGGTTTGACCGAGAAGGCATCATTCGCTTTGGCATTGCTGTAAGTGAGAGATCAGCATGAAAAAAAGCTTTACATTCATAAAACAGAAACTTTATTTGGTAACACTTTATTTTACAGTCTCCTTGTTACATTATGTTACATAATTATACTTACCATAGTAATAATAGTAAATTATGCATGATTACATGCAACTAACCCTCAACCAAATCCTAATCCTACCCTAACCCTGTAAGGACATTGTTAATTAATATTAATATTAAAAGCGTAACCCTTTATTTTAATGTGATGTTGTTACAATGTAATTAATCAGTAATAAGTATATAACTAAATGTACTGGGTTAAGGTTAGGTTTTAGTTAAGGGTTAGTCACTTATGCATAATTTACTGTTATTACTTTAGTTTTACACCTTAAAATAAAGTGTTATCAAACGTTTTTAATGTTGACGATTATATTTTTATCTATGGTACTATATGAAATCTGTTCAAATGAAGAACATTCGGTAAAATGAGTATGAGATTCATTACCAAAAATTAAATCATATTGATGTAAATAAGCTCCAGCATGGTTGCAAATTTCATAATAAAGTGTATCTAATTTTATACAATGCAGTTTTAATTTTTATAATATGTTTTCAATTAAATGTATTTCATATTGTTTTAAGGTTGTTTACATATTTTTTTTACTGGACAACAAAAACAAAATAATGAATGAATTTGGTGTAAAAGTCTCATTAATGAATTCTCACAGATCCTCAAGGAAGGTGCCAATATTCAAAAGTTCATCGAGGAGATTGAATTGATCGCTAGCACCCCAACAGAGAACTACATGTTCAATGTGTCATCAGAGGAAGCTCTAATCAATATCGCGGGAACTCTGGGGGAAAGGATCTTTAACATTGAAGGTAAATCTTGCATTCACAAACTTGAATGCAAGATCCAGTGAAAACAGGTCGCACATTTACCTAAAGTACAGCTTTAAATCAGGATAAGCATATGAATATTTTGTCTTGTTTCATTTAAGGCACCAGTCAAGGTCAAGAATTTCAAATGGAAATGTCCCAAGTTGGATTCAGCGCACATCAGACCAATAAAAAGGTGGCAATAATCGTTCAACACATCATGTATCTGATGGAGCAGTCTAACACATCTCTAATGTACCAGAAAATGTGTTATTCCACAGGATGAGATCATGCTGGGTGCTGTCGGAGCGTATGGATGGACCGGGACCGTCGTCCATCAAACAGCTGGAAAATCAAACGTTTTCCTGAAAAATGCTTTTGAGAAAACCCTGGATGACAGAAACCACAGCTCATTACTCGGTGAGACTCGGAAAGTCAATTGTAATGATTTTTTTCATTACCAAAAGCTAATCTACATGTCATGTTTGTTTATAATCACATCAACGCTATTGGATTATAAAAAAGAAAAAGGAAATGTATACTTTTATTCAGCAAGGACACATTAAATTGATACAAATGGTAAAGATATGTGTAATGCTACAAAAGATTTAAAATAAAAGTTCTTTTGAACTTTCTATTCATTAAAGAATCCTGAAAAAATTTATCACAGTTTCCACATAAAAATATTGCACATCACAACTGTTTTCTACATGTGACACTGAAGACTGGAGTAATGATGCTGTAGATTCAGTTTTGATCACAGGAATAAATTTAATTTTAACATATTACAGTAGAAACAGTTATTTTAAATAGTAATATTATTTCACAATATTACTGTAATTCTACTGTATTTTTGATCAAATAAATGCAGTCTTTGCAGAAGAGACTTCTTTTAAAAATATTTTAAACTACCCCATACAGTAGTGTACTGTACACACCATGTAAAAAATATCGAGTATTTTATAGATTCTTCTCATTTTTTTGTTTATTTCCCCGTCATATATCCAGGCTACTCTGTGAGCTCTGTGACTGACGGCTCCTCTGAGTTTTATGTGGCCGGTGCTCCTCGTGCCGTTCATAGAGGACAGGTTATAGTTTACATCATTGACAGCCAGAGACAACCTGTGGTCATAGATTCACAAAGAGGAGATCAGGTACATTTGACCCTTAATGACCTTGAGTTTCATAAGAAAGTAAAGTCCTGTAATGTGTAATTTTGGTGTGTGTGGTTTGCAGATCGGGTCTTATTTTGGCAGCGTTCTCTGTCCCGTTGATGTGAACGCTGATGGAGTGACTGATCTGCTGCTGGTTGGAGCTCCGATGTACATGAGCGACGAGAAGTTTGAGACAGGACGAGTCTACCTGTTCACCATTACCAAGGTGACAAAGATTTGCCGTCCATGCTCAGATAATCATCATCTTCACTCAAAGCATATCCTAAAAAGACTGTCCATTTCTTGCCTTGTGTATTCTTAGGGCATCTTAAGCAACCAGGGCAGTTTAGAGGGACCCTCCGCATTTGAGAATGCTCGGTTTGGGACGGCCATCACTGTCGTCCCAGATCTGAACCTGGACGGCTTCAGTGACGTGGTGGTTGGTGCCCCATTGGAAGGCAATGGCCATGGTGCCATTTACATCTACTATGGAGACAGAAAGACCATCAGAAAGCAGAGCTCACAGGTAGGACGCACTAATTTTTCTTTTAATATTCCTGCTGAAATTACCAGTATGAATTCAAGGAAGTGCGGCTGGTTAAGTTGTTGACCAGCCATGAAAACCTCATCCTTAAAAGTATCATCGGCACAACAGTGGAAACTAATTCCATGTTTACTTATAAAGTTATCAAGTCGCAGCATATATATTGAAAATAGCAGGGGGCCTAACACAGATCCTTGCAGTACTCCATAGTTTACTGATGAAAACCTCATTAAGTAGTTAATATTCTTTTGTTAGAATTTCTTAGTAAAATAATATTTCAAAATTATAATATAATTGCAACTATATAATAATATTAATAAAATATTATAATTTAATTTAATAATATTTTAAAATCCCACTTTAGTCAATCATTTTATTCCTAAAACTCACCAAAATTACATATTTAAACCTTTTCTTTAGCTTGAATGTAACTCTACACCCTTGCCTCATTTAGTATGTGGTTCAATGAATATGCAAAGTCTAGTGTGCTGTGATTGGTCAGTCACCCAGTCTATTGTGATTGGTCTACTCTGCGCTTATGCAAATACAAAGATGACACTTATAAGAACTATTTACTGTATATAAATATTTAAAGATCCTCTTTTTTCCTTAATTTGTTTTTTATCATGAGCATTTTTATTTGTCATTGACCTTTATACAAAAAAAAAGTCTTCTTATTTTGTGCAGAAAATTCTTGCATCCAAACTGGACCTGGCGCTTCGGTTCTTCGGACGCTCTTTAGATGGCCGTGAAGATATGAACAGTGACTCAATCCCTGATATTTCGGTCGGAGGAGATGGGAATGTAGTGCAGCTCTGGTGAGGGTCTCAGTGTAGTTGTTAAAGATCTAGTAAATCATTTACTGAAATTGTGATGTTTATAGAGTATTTCTGATCTCAGGTCAAGGGGAGTTGCAGTTATCACAACAACAGTCTCCTTCAACCCGGAGAAGATCAGCATTCTGAGTAAAACTTGCATGTTCGGTGGAAGGATAGTGCCGTGTGTTACTGCCAAAGTCTGTTTCAGGTCAACATTCAGACCCACCACATTAGTGGATCAAGTAGGTAAGGTCGTCTCATGTATTTTGTATCACATGTATGTTCATTTCTCTAAAAATCTCCATGAAAGTGAATGAAATCACTGTTCTTTAGATATCAAGTACAACCTGACCCTTGACGCTGACCTGCAGTCATCAAGAGCCACTTCAAGAGCCCAGTTTGACAACTCAGAGCGTGTCCTCCAGAAAGCTGTCAGCGTCTCTGAAACACAAACCTGTGTCGATCATAAAGTCTATGTCCAGGTGAGTTTTTGCCAGTTACCACAGGCCTCATGCTGTTCATAATAACAGTGCTCACTGTACTACAGCTTTGTTTTATTTATAAGTGCTTGAATGATAATTTTACATGGTTGTTTTCATGGTGTAACAGGAGACCCCTGATTTTGCTAGTCCAGTTGCTTTGCGAGTCGACATCAGTCCACAGAATCCAGAAAACGGCCCTGCCATAGATGCATTTCAGCCCAAAGCATGGGATTTTTTTGTAAGATTCCCTCCTGAATTTAATTAAGTACGTCCAACGTCAATTGTTTCAAAGGTTTTAAACTTTGACAAAAATGCATTTCTTTTTGCTCAGGTCCCTTTTGAAAAGGATTGTGGCGCTGATGATAAATGTACTTGTGACCTGAAGCTGACTGTGAAAGCTGTTGATGTACCAAGGTAACCTATAATATATTTTAAAGGGCCAGTGTCTATAAACTGCTAAAAAAGGATAGTTCACCTAAAAACGGAAATTCATTATACAATCACCTTGTCGTAGATGATATAATCATGTCAATGATTCAATCCCTGTTTACATAATATATGGTACAAATATACAAATTCTAATATGGGCCTGTGTTTTTATAATTATTAAAGTAAAACTAATCAAAATTGTTTTTGTTAATTGAATTAAAATAAAAAATGTAATAATAACTGAAAAACTTAAACTTAATAAACTTAAATGAAAATTAGAAATGGCAACTAACTGAAATAAACAAATTTAAGTTGAAGTCCTAAAATTACCACTAAAACTGAAAGCATATTTTAAAATAATAAAAATTATAAAAGCAACTACATTACTAAAACTTAAACTAAAATTCAAAAAAGCTAAATCAAAATATTGATATAATAAATACTAAAATAGTATATAAATAAGAACACCAGACTGAAATTTTGTTCATATTTCATTCAATATATATTCATATTTAATTCATATTTCCACTGGAGTTTGTGAGTTGATAAAAAGCTAATACTTAAGTAATAAAATAAATAATTTAAGAATAAAAACAATCAAAATAAAACTTGTACTATAGATATTTGAAACATATTTTCAGGGGGTACTTCAAGGAAATATTTAAGTTCAAATGGGTTCGGCTGCAAAAATGTTTGGGAATCTCTGCCTTAGAAGATGATAGTTAAAGTGATCTTTCCAGGAGTTAAGTAAAAATAATCAATTTCTATCCCCATGGCTATGTGTAATATGTTATCAAAGAACCTGAATCCTGACAGACTTTGTTGTGTTTTGCAGCTCATCTTCATTTGTTGTCAGCCCTGACAGAAGAAGACTCTCCTTCATTGTGACAGTAATGAACAGGAAGGAAAATGCATACAACACAAGAGTGTCAGCTAACTTCTCCGGCAACCTGTTCTACGCCTCTGTTACACCCCCTGTATGGGCACCATTTTATGATTTGACATAATAAATCGTCTCTGCTTTGTGTACGAGATATCGCATTTGTGAACTTTCCTGCTCGTGTTTGCAGGGTGATAACACTGAGGTGAAATGCACTTCAAAAACTGGCTCACTCGACTGCAGAGTTGGGTACCCATACCTGGCGCCTGACCAGACGGTAGGAGAAATGTGTGTGTGTGTGTGTGTGTGTGTGTGTGTGTGTACTGTATAAAAATCATTATGTCTATGGAAAGTGCCCATATAACATGAAAACATAACATTTTTGTTTTCTTTAATAATTCCATTTTGTCTCATTAGGCAACATACGAGATCAACTTTGATTTCAACCTGAATCAACTAAAGAAAAATGCTGTTGTGAACTTTGAAGTGCAAAGGTAAAGACGCTATTTTAAGACAGTTCTGTTTTAACTTTTGTGCATCTGTTTGTTTGGCCTGTGAATAACCCTGCATAATATTTTCAGTGACAGTACGGAGGAAGTGACATCTGATAACAAGGTCTCTCTATCCATCCCAGTCCAGTATGATGCCGAAATCATCCTCACCAGGTCAGGACTTATGTTATGATGCTTTGACAACCTTAATCAGATCATAATATATATAGCCATGTATATATGTAACCCCTCATGTTTTATACATATATATATAATATATAATCTTTTTTTCTTGTATTTTAATTTTTTTTTTTTTTCAAATGATTTTTCTAGAGACATAAGCTTGGATTATTGCCTCATTGGTGCTGAGGATCAAGTCAAATACACAGTCTCAGATTTCAATGACATCGGCCCAGAATTCCACATAACATTACGAGTGAGTCAAAACAATTAAAAATGAAATATTATACTAATATGTCCCGAGTTCCCCCTAGTGTTTGCCATGTGAAATATGCGATAGCTATTTTTAGCATGTCTTTCTGCAGGTTTCGACTGGAACCTTCCCAATCAATCAGGCTCATCTGACAGTCTCGCTGCCCACCAGCACAAAGGCTGGAAACCATTTACTTTATGTGACTTCAGTCGAAACAGCACCTGTAAGTTTAACACTCGATTCAAAAGTGTAGCTTCTATAGTTTTGCTGAGCACTTCCTATACAACTAAAGTGTTTCATTGCACATTATGCTGAATCAAAATGAAAATGATCATTTAAGCTGTTTCTGATGTGCAGGTTGTAAATGTGCGGTGTGACAGCGCTCTCATTGACCCGTTAAACATCCGAGAGAAACCCTACACTGCCAGCTTCACAAAACTGAGCTTTAGAGGGACAACAGAACTGGTCAGTATGTGTGTGTGTGTGTGTGTGTGTGTGTGTGTGTTAATGTGACATTTACAGAGTGCAACATAGGCCTTCTTGCACAATCAGCACATACAATACAGTTTAAAAGTTTGGTGTCAGCATATCTGACTGATTTCTGAAGGATCATGTGACACTGAACACTGGAGTAATGATGCTGAAAATACAGCTTTGATCACGGGAATAAATTACATTTTAATATATACTCACCTAAAGGATTATTAGGAACACCTGTTCAATTTCTCATTAATGCAATTATCTAATCAACCAATCACATGGCAGTTGCTTCAATGCATTTAGGGGTGTGGTCCTGGTCAAGACAATCTCCTGAACTCCAAACTGAATGTCAGAATGGGAAAGAAAGGCGATTTAAGCAATTTTGAGCGTGGCATGGTTGTTGGTGCCAGACGGGCCGGTCTGAGTATTTCACAATCTGCTCAGTTACTGGGATTTTCACACACAACCATTTCTAGGGTTTACAAAGAATGGTGTGAAAAGGGAAAAACATCCAGTGTGCGGCAGTCCTGTGGGCGAAAATGCCTTGTTGATGCTAGAGGTCAGAGGAGAATGAGCCGACTGATTCAAGCTGAAAGAAGAGCAACTTTGACTGAAATAAACACTCGTTACAACCGAGGTATGCAGCAAAGCATTTGTGAAGCCACAACACGCACAACCTTGAGGCGGATGGGCTACAACAGCAGAAGACCCCACCGGGTACCACTCATCTCCACTACAAATAGGAAAAAGAGGCTACAATTTGCAAGAGCTCACCAAAATTGGACAGTTGAAGACTGGAAAAATGTTGCCTGGTCTGATGAGTCTCGATTTCTGTTGAGACATTCAGATGTTAGAGTCAGAATTTGGCGTAAACAGAATGAGAACATGGATCCATCATGCCTTGTTACCACTGTGCAGGCTGGTGGTGGTGGTGTGATGGTGTGGGGGATGTTTTCTTGGCACACTTTAGGCCCCTTAGTGCCAATTGGGCATCGTTTAAATGCCACGGCCTACCTGAGCATTGTTTCTGACCATGTCCATCCCTTTATGGCCACCATGTACCCATCCTCTGATGGCTACTTCCAGCAGGATAATGCACCATGTCACAAAGCTCGAATCATTTCAAATTGGTTTCTTGAACATGACAATGAGTTCACTGTAGGGTAGACTGGGTACAGTTGAGACATAGGTACAGTTGAGACACCTTAAATAACTTGCGTGCGCAGCCAGCACAAGTTGTGATTTTTGCTGTGCACATGCGTATTAGTGTCCTCTTTGATCGTGGGAAATTTGATCAATGGACGCATCTCCGCTCCGAAGATATCGGCAAAAGTTTTTTTTTTAAGGTAAGACGTTCACTTCACCATGCACACTCCACAATGAATAGCTTATTATCCTTTTGTGACTGTTAAACGTAACTGGTATAATCACAAACGTTATTCTGTGCCCTAAAAACGGGCATATTTCATGGGATTGTTTCAGGCATGGTCATTGCAAAATCTAGAGAAATGCGCGAGGTGGCCATCAGGGTACAGTTGAGACACACTGTCTTAACTGTATCCGCGATAGAGTTCTATTAGGAAACACACTGTTTAGTTGTTCAGTGTTATGATAACAGGTTAAATGTCATAATTAGCCAGCATAAGCTGCAAATGAAATAAAAATTTGGTATTTGTGATAATTAAACTGTGTATTATTAATGAATATATAAAATATATTGTTTCTGTTTTATAAAATTTAACCAGTGCTAATTTAAATAACATTAATGAATTTGAATGGATGAATAAACAAACATGTTGCCCAATTGTTATTTTTTTTATTTGTCTTTATTTATTATATTTTCAATGAACGATTAGTTACCTTTACATCATTAAAAATGGGTGTCTCAACTGTACCATGGTACTGTCTCAACTGTACCACATATGGGTACAGTTGAGACAAAGTTGAGACAAAAAGCACCTTATTTTTATGAGCTAATTGTGGAAAATATAAACTACTTATGAGTAATATTGATTGATAATATCTTAGTCTACAAGCTCATGAAATGTCATGTGGCATATCATGTGGAAATTCACGTCTTTTCAGCATCTATTTTTGTGTGAAAAATCAAAACGCAAAAAGTGTCTCAACTGTACCCAGTCTACCCTACTAAAATGGCCCCCACAGTCACCAGATCTCAACCCAATAGAGCATCTTTGGGATGTGGTGGAATGGGAGCTTTGTGCCCTGGATGTGGATCCCACAAATCTCCATCAACTGCAAGATGCTATCTTCCAAGACGCTATCTGCAAGTGTACCTCCTTGGAATTGTAATTTGATTTGTGTTGATAAGGGGCAGATATTAGAAGTTTATCTTCTTTTTGCTCCTTTTCATTTCTTTTCAAAAGAATGAAATAAAAAATATGAATGAATGAATGAATGAATGAATGAACTGCAAGATGCTATCCTATCAATATGGGCCAACATTTCTAAAGAATGCTTTCAGCACCTTGTTGAATCAATGCCACGTAGAATTAAGGCAGTTCTGAAGGCGAAAGGGGGTCAAACACAGTATTAGTATGGTGTTCCTAATAATCCTTTAGGTGAGTGTATATTCAAATAGAAAACAATTATTTTAAAGTGTCATAAAATTTCACAATATTACTCTTTTTACTGTATTTTTGAATCAAAAGCAACCTCTGTGAGTATAAGAGACTTCTTTCAAAAACGTTGAAATGTCTTACTGAACCCAAACTTGTGTAACATACAGTTGTTCATTTCCAGAATTGTAAGGCGGCAAAATGTGAACCCATGACTTGTGTCCTCGAAGATCTGGAGATGAAAACCAGCTACTTTGTAAACATAACCGCAAGGATCTGGAAGGGCACTTTTGCCTTTGTAAGTGTCTCTTGAACCGTTTGATCATGTCTGATATCCGTCCTGAGCAGATACTTAAGTTCACACTCATGTTTATCTTCTTCTAGGCGGATTTTCAGACTGTTTTAGTGGCTGGAAGCTCTGAAATAGAAACATCTCAGCCTGATCTCATAGTCGTCACACACAAACAACAACAGGTCAGTTCATTACCCTTTCTTTCAGTTGTTTGAGCAATGATCAACACTTCTGAAAAGAGTGTTTGTGGTTGTCTTTAACAAGGCTGGTTTCAGCTGGTATGCATCCTGCTGGTTGACCACCATAGCCACTCTGTTCAACTGCAGAAATAATGGTGAAATTGGTTTACTATATGCTTGTTTTAATCTGCACATTTGTCTTGTTTTTCCATACAAATATCTGAACTTCTTTAAAACATTATACTTCAGAAGCAGAAGTTTTTCAGACATGTTTCAGAGTTTACTTTCACACCCCATTGTGAAATATGTAATGTATGTGTATATGGTTTTTGAGGAAACAGTGATACATTTTTTCAGGATTCTCTGATGAATACAAAGTTAAATAAAAACAGCATTTATTTGAGGCAGAAAAATTATAAATGTCTTTACTGTCCCTTTTTTAGCAATTTAATATACCCTTGCTGAATAAAAGTATTAATTTCTTTAATTAATTACTTTTGAGTGTATATAGTTCCAAGGTTAAAACAACCTTTGCTAGTCTAAACTGTACAGTGGTATTGCGTTATATGTCATTGATATGCTTTATCTAATCTTTCCTGACTCCGCTGCAGATAAAAATTACAGTCAGTAAAGAAGGAGCGATTGGAGATATTCCTATTGGTGTTATCATAGGAAGTGTCATTGGCGGACTCCTCCTGTTTGTCCTAGCCACAGTGATTCTATGGAAGGTATGTGCTCTTTGTTTTAGCATGAACTACAACTACTGTACAACTGCACTGTAATTTTACAAAGTAAAATGCTTTATTCTAAAAATATAATATAATATAATTAGAGCTGTCAAAATTATTTCAGTTTAACTCGTTTATTATTTAATATTTAAAGCAGCATCCTTTGTCAAAATTCCCGTTTTGTCGAGTATTCTCATAAGTCTTAAATTAGTTCAAAAGTGTTAAAGGAACGTAAGGAGTTAAATAGGATGCATGTCAGATCCGGGTCATGTGTGTCAGCTCTTAAAGTGATGGCAGCCTAATAAACCTCCTGCTGTCTGTGTCATTAATGTTAATCAAAGAACAAAAGAAAAAGAGAAAATCACTCACTGCTCTTGACTGAATAACTTTTGTAGCTTTAATAAGGATTAATCTGTATTAAATCTATAATTTATGCAGTGACGACTGTGCAGTGATTGATTATTCAATTTCTGTATATTTACATGTTAGACCTACTGGAAAATCTTAAAGCACTGTTTACAAGGTTATGGGTCAAAAACAATGGAAACAATCACTTTTTTTGTGCATCCTAGCAGGGCAGGTAAAAACCTGAACGACCCCGACTGGGCCAGTAGGAAAAACCTTAGTATTGAGTACTAAGTACTATTGAGTATTTTTGAGTATACATTTTTTAAAGCCTATTAAATGTTAAAATTGATAGCTGTTAATTATACTGTAATGTTGAATAGCTATAATTAAAAGCTAAAATTGAGGGGGAAAATCCATGTAATATAGACATCGGTATTGATATCAGTGATTCATACTAGTGCTTAGTAAAAAAAGATGCCATTAAACAAATATTTAAAATATACTGTTTTTAAGTTGTTTCTACATTATTTTGAAGATATGGCCTATAACAATATAAAAATATAATAAAAACTTTAATGTTAGGTGCGATTAATCACGATTAATTACAGAAAAATGTGTGATTAATTACGTTATATAATATTATCCTGATTTCCCACCAGGTTGGCTTCTTCAAGAGAAAGCGCTTGCCACAGACGGGAAATGAACAGGACCAGGCAGAACAAGAGGGTCTGTGTGAGAATCCAGCATGAACGGGACACATGACAATAATGTCACCTCGAAATGTACAGATAAATAACTGATATTCAGTTAGCTGAAATCCGGGTCCTGCTGGAGGTCTCGGTTATGATAATATTACTGTATTTTAAAGCATCTCACAACTGTTGGACTTAATCGCTCCTTGCTCAGTTGTGCTCCGTTCTAAAGCGTGGACGAATGAGTTTGTACTTGCATGAGAGCTGTGATGTGTCTTCTTAAGGACAGAGGGGGTTGGGTGAGATGCCTCTGTCAGTTCCTGCCTCGTTCTAACTTGCTTCAGTATGTTCATGGTTCTCAGGTAAAGCATATCAGAAACAAGTCTTTACATCGTTTGAAGTTTGTCTATTGTCGCTAACGTCCTATTGTTTTAGTTTCAGACCACTGTTTCTGAGACGTTTAACTCGCTTATGGCACGAACTCACACTACGATGACACGTGTGAAATACTTATTATGAATGACTCTTGCTGTGACTGTTCAAGCCCCAGGGGCAGATTAAATTATGTTCTTGGTTTAATCCTTGTTTTTGTTGGGCATGATCTTCCCTTTTTCTCTTCCTTCTGGCTATTTCGAAATAGTTAGCATATTTTAAAGAGATTGATGCGCATTGTTATGGTTTCTACAGCCTTCCTTCACTTAATAAAACCATAAAGTTGGGGGTTTATTAGTAAACTTTAATTTATGAATGTGAAATTGTGTACCTAATTAAAAAAAGAAAAATATAGCCTATATAAAAAAAAAACATTCGTCTGTGAAATGGGTCGGTTATACAGCCTATAATCACAGCTGTACTTTCTGTTTTTGCACATTTAACAACTTTTTAATTTAAAAACTCCTAGTACCATTTTTACATGGAGCCTTAGGTCAAATTAACTAATATTACTAAATATTTTCTGTGTGGGCCAACAGCTTTCGGAAAAAGCTTACTGATTTTCATCATATTGCCACACACCATGTCGCAATGGATAACCTATTCAGTGTACTTTTACCCTGCTTTTACCATACATGGTTGTGTTTTAATGTGTCGACATGGGTTAAGTTTGTGTGCGTGTAACACATTGTGTGTAATTTTGTGTTGATTGTTAAAAACAAAAAGATAAAGATAAAAAAAAAAGTGCAACAGTGTCTTCTTGACACTCTAGCTCGTGTTATTCGATAGCGTAACATAACAAGTCTTCTTTTTTTTTTCTTTTTTTTTTTGCACTCTTGCAGCTTTGAATAAAACACTTGTTGTCGATGACAGGGAGATCATGCAAGAAGCTCACCCTCACTTGTATGACCTCAAAATAAAATGTAAAATTAAAATGAATAGTGTAACAGAACTTAAGAATGGAATGATTTAATAATGCCAAATGATGTCCAGCTCCAGCTCTCTGGATGTCATGGGTTGAGCTTGACCTATAGTCCAGCTCCACCTCTGTGGATCTAATGGGAGGAGGGATAGAGTTATGGGCGGGGTTAGGGTGTGGTTGAACCCATTATGACCAAATTACATCCAGAGAGGTGGAGCTGGTCTTCACGCTCCACCGGCTCTGCATTGAGCAGCCTCTCATTCCTAGCACTGTTTCACACACACACTCACACTGAACTAGATGCAGATACACTGGAGAGCTCACATTGATGCTGGATATCACTGTGGACTTAAAAATGAACATGCTGCAGGTACTTCTCACTGTTCTGTGTAAGTAGCCAACTTATGCAAACATGCTAGTTTTTTTTTTTATTAATTCGGCCAAAATTGAATGACAACAGTGCTAAATTGTGTTGTAGGTGAAATAAAACTCAGTGTATTTGAGAAAATAGTTTTCTTTTGTTTTCTTGGGTCTGTGAGGAACAGATATTTGTCTATTTTTGATCTGCACAGTATGATGTACATGTAAATATGCAGTTTGGCATTTCATCAAAGATGTTAGTATGACCTTTGAAAAACAAAAGGGTAATTTAGGTGACTTTTCTTTTTCTTATTTTAAAGTTTTTTGTTTTGTTTTTTTCAAAAAAGTGCATTTCTGTATGATTTTAAACATTATATATAAAAAAATGTGTTTTAAGTGGTAATAGCTGAATCATGCCATCTCAGTCTAATGTGTAATTATATTGAGATAGACAGTTTTATAATTATTTTGCTATTAGCCCTGTTCTCCAGGTCTGGAAAGTACTAAATGTTTATTAGAAAGAAAATTAATGCAGTATTGATTATTCAGTTTTTTACTGTACAAAATGAAAAGTTGACTGCTTAAGAAAAAGTAGACATTTAAAGCAACACTATGGAACTTTTCAACCTTCATAGTATATTTCCAAGACCCTTGTGATGGCACATCGACTTACAATAGGTTAAATGACACGTCTGCCATAGCCTGACGTGGTCTGTATCGCTTTTACTCGCACTATGTAACTTCGGGTTTCGGGTAGTAACCCGAGCACAAAAAGAACTACAAAACTCGACTGCTTTACGGCATACGTCACTTCCCCCACCACTTTCTCAAATTGTCTATGGCCATTGCAGACATCCCAACTCTATAGCGTCTCCCTAGTCTCAGCCTCAGACGTCACGCCCACGGAACGTTGGCTAAACGTCTGATGCATATGGTACACTTAACTGGAAACACTTCAGGAATATCGAAGTCGTCATCTGATTGGTTGAATTTTGTCGGATTTACGGGGGGCGCGAGTGTCGCGTTTATTTTCGGTCTGCCGGGAAACAAAGCGCAGACGTGTGATTGCGGAAGAAAAACTGTTGTGTTTACATGAGTGACAATGAGCATTTATCAAGATCAGCTAAACGTAGGATTCTCAAAAGTATGCGAGGTTCACGGGAAAGACTCTTGAAGTTTTCTTCTCCTTCTTTGATTTTCTATGCTATGTCTGTTGTTGTGGGGACATTTCCACGCCCCGAAACGTGACGCTGAACGAAACGATCTGTAATTGGTTGTTTGACATGTCGGTCAAACGGCCTTATGGGCGGGCCTTGGCCAAAGAAAGCTGCTATGAATTCCAGACCTTCAGCCGTCAGTCTGAAGATCTGGCTACGCGAGACTAGCGTCTCCCTGATGCCCGCAAATTAGTTCAAATCTGCCGGAATCTAGAGCGCGCATGCGAGACAGAACATACTGCGCGCATAACATACAGCGCGAGCACGGCAGAGAGGGAGAGAGCGAGAGACCTTGCGAGTGTGCCTCACGAAGGCTAGTCAACCCGCCAAGTACCGTGTCTAATGGGTAAAGCTACAGTAACGTCTTCAGTCAGCTTGAGATCCTTTCCATCTAAACTGGTTTTTCCTCTTAAAGGGATAGTTCACCCAAAAATGAAAACTCAGTCATCATTAACTCATCATCAAGTTGTTCCAAATCTGTACAAGTTTCTTCTGGTGAACAAAATTTTGAAGAATGTTGGTAACCTGAGAGTTGATGGTTGAAATTGACTTTCATAGTAGGAAAAAAAATACTATGGAAGTCAATGGCCACCGTCAACTGGTTACCGACATTCTTCTTTTGTGTTTAACAAAAAAACTCGGTAAACACTTTATGTTGATAGTCCACTTTAGACATTCTACTAAGTAACTTTGGGTTACACTTTATTTCGATAGTCCACTTTAGACATTCTACTAACTATAAGTAACTTTTCAACTACATGTCAACTAACTCTCATTAGAGTATTAGTAGACTGTAGTAGACGTTAGGTGTTAGGGTTCGGGTTAGGAGAATAAGTTGACTTGTAGTTGCCAAGTTACTTCTAGTCAGTAGAATGTCTGTTGGGGGACCAACAAAACAAAGTGTTAGCAAATATTAAGCAAACAGTCTACTAATCCTCTAATGCCAGTTGGTTGACATGTAGCTGCAAAGTTAGGTTACACTTTATTTCGATAGTCCACTTTAGACATTCTACTAACTATAAGTAACTTTTCAACTACATGTCAACTAACGCTCATTAGAGTATTAGTAGACTGTAGTAGACGTTAGGTGTTAGGGTTCGGGTTAGGAGAATAAGTTGACTTGTAGTTGCCAAGTTACTTCTAGTCAGTAGAATCTCTGTTGGGGGACCAACAAAATAAAGTGTTAGCAAATATTAAAACAACACTAAGTAAGATTTTTTACCTTAAAATAATGTTTCCAAAATCGTTTCAGTGGTTCATTAAGTCGTAACAGGGTGAAAGGCACTTCTGGATTCGCTTTGCGGTCCTATATCTGCTAGAACCACGCTATGTAAGATTGCCAGATCGGGTTGCGTTTCTGTAGTTCTAATGAGACATAAGAAAACTACAAATTTGACTTGCATTACGTCAAGCGTTACAATAGTAATTTCTTCGTTTCTGATGTCGCAATACATCATACTTTCATGAAATCATGCAACATACTCTAGCTTGTCTGTGGACATCGTTCATTCCAAAGCCGGTGCTGGATAAACAGCGAGCGTGCGTGCGACAGTAGGCTGCGGTAGGCTAAATTATTTACGACAGCGGTAATGGACAATTCCGCTTCCAACCTGTAGGGCAACCTGTTGTACGTCACACGCATCACACACATTACCAGCGTCGGCCATTAGTGAGCCTACATGTGACGTGCAACACAGAAGCTTTGCGCAGTTACACTACGTGAAATCTCACGGCCCACAGAGAAGGAAATGATAGTTGAATAAAGTCGTTATTTTTGTTTGTTTTTTGCGCACAAAAAGTATTCTCGTCGCTTGATAAACTTAGGATTGAGCCACTTTCACTTGGACTATTTTAACGATGTCTTTAACTTTTATGGGCCGGCCAGTTTCGATCCCTTTAGTATGGAGGAGTGATCCAGCTCTCAGATTTAATAAAAAAATATCTTAATTTCTGAAGATGAACGAAAGTCTTACGGGGTTGGAACAACATGAGGGTGAGTAATTAGGGTGGTAGCTTAATATTTCATTCAATCAGCAATAGCTGTGCCAATGTAAATGCAAGTTAGTTTTAATAGTTTTTTTTGCATTTGCATGCTAAATAACGTCATATTTCATATGCAAACATGCTGTGCTAACTAGTATTAATTTGAACTGAAGCAGGTAATTAATCGGTGCTTCCTACACAGGAGTGGACACTGCTTTAGTCACGATCTCGAATTTACACTAATTATGACATGGCATGATCATACTTACACTCTAAAAAATAAAGGTCCTTTATTGGCATCAGTGGTTCCCTATCGAGTCTTTAACATCCATGGAACCTTTCCATAACACCATTCCACTTACTGGTACAGAGCATTTTTTTAAATGGTTCTTTTTATGGGATCGTTGTAATTATGTTTTTTTTTTAAATCCAGATTATTATTAGTAATCATCCCACATGAACCCACACAATGGTCAAAATATCATGGTTAAAATAGGAACAGGATGCTTGTCGAAGTCATTGTCTGAATGGTGTCAAAGATCAGTGTCTAAACAGGCACTGGACTGGAAACACATTCTCTCTCTCTCTCTCTCTCTCTCTCTCTCTCTCTCTCTCTCTCTCTCTCTCTCTCTCTCTCTCTCTCTCTCTCTCTCTCTCTCTCTCTCTCTCTCTCTCTCTCTCTCTCTCTCTCTCTAACCCCACCGTCTGACCTCTCTGTTTTTGTCTCCGCCCATGTTCATGCTTAATTCATCCTCTGTCTCGTTTCATGTGTCCACACACTGTTTAAAGGCTCTCTTTGTGTGATGACTGTCTCTATAAGTAATGAATGGAGAACTCTGTAAGAGGAGATACTATATGTTCCTTCATTCATGGTGTTATGGATTGTGTCGCTCAGACATATTTTTAGCACTTTATCTCTTTTTACTGAACTGCAGATTAAAATGATAATATAAAGATAAACTGAGATGGCCAGGCTAGATTAAGATGCAGATCAACATAAGTTGAGTCATCAGAGATAAACCCTGCTCAGGCATGTTTCTACATTTCATGAAGCTCTAAATCAACTTGAAGTCAATATCTATCTTTTTCTTTATAGGTTTTTATTCAACACAGTCTCAATTAGGTGCAAAGGAATGAAAATGTCTACATTATCAAAGACGTCTCACAATTTTTCAACAATGGGAACTGCAAATAACACACAATAACAATTGAAATGTCAATTAGAAAAGGAGTAAGGGTCAATGACATGATGCTCTTTTCTTCTTATCTTTAAAATGCAATTCACACATACAAAAACTTCATTTTGGTTAAAATTCATTTTCATATTTTCTTGGACATAGAGTAAAACATTAAGCAAATAAAGCCACATTAAAATAAATTCTTGAAAAGAAAGCTTTATTAAAAAGATTTGATACTCTTATTTCCAATAATAATATAAAAATATCAGATAATTTGAATGTTTTTGTACAAAAACATATGAATGATTAAGTCATCATGTTTATATAAAAAAAAAACTTTTATTTGAAAAAATTGCAACCTAAAAATGATAACATCTAAATTAACTGATTTATTGATTGGTAAGTGACCACACTCATGTTACTGGCCCATAAAGCGCTTGCAAAACACAGAGAGGGTTATCTGTGTTTATGACTAAATATTGTTTACTATCTCTAAGAATCCCTACATCAAAGTTGTCCTGCACAGTCACTCATGGGTTCACATTCATGCTGTGGCATGTCTACTAGGGGTGGAACGGTACACAGAAGTCACGGTTCGGTTCATACCTCGGTTCAGACATCACGGTTCGGTACGATTTCGGTACAATGGAG